CCTCACCGCTGGTATAGAATTTTTATATCGGTTCTTCCAACGAAATTCTTCTCCTTTGTTTTTTATCTCTCCCTCTAGTTCTCTGTCGCTCTTTTTCTCGTTGAACTTCGCTTTCTCTTTCTCTACTCTATATTCCAAAATTGTCAGAATTGTGGACATGGCAATTAAATTAAGCTTAATACTTTAGACAACTCGGATAAAGAAACAATTTCCACTTTCCAATTGTCTGTGCTTCACAAGACGCGGTTGACCATGCAATTTCTGCCAAAAAAAACTCGAGTTGCGTTTGGGCTGCAATACCGAGTTGAGTTATTTTACTTTGGTGGTATGCCTGTGGAGCGGACGGACGGGCGGGCCGGTCGGACATACGGTCACGCGACTACAAGTATCTACCAACATTTCTTGGATGCAGAGCTCCGCTATTTTTATTAGTGTGTTCTTTCATTGTGAGTTAGCCTGAGACCAGGCTCTGCTGTGGGGAAAAATAGCAAAAACGGAGTAAAACGTTCGGCTCCCTTTCCTCACCGATTGTCTTTTTTTTTTTTTCACCTTTTGCCCCGAGTACGGACCTGGGTCCCAGGCTACTAGTGAGTCCATTATGCTGCTGTGTTGTTCGATTTTCTCTCTTATGACTTACCAACCTGCCTGATCCCTTACCTATAAATCAAAGAAATCTGTTTTAGCGCTAAAACTGAGGCTGGTTCTGTGAGTAAAATACTGTCGGTTACTATTTTTCATATTGCTGATTTGGACCCGCGGACTAAAATGCGTCGGTCTCAGAGTGGGCTGCCAGAGGCATTTGATGGGGCTATAATGTTTTGTTTTGTGCTCACGTGGCGCCAGGCTGAATCAGCCTTTTCCCTGCACTAAATTGGGCTAAATTGGCACTTTGGGACTAAAACAGATCTCTCTAAATTATAGCGTTGTGACGGAATTCGAGCGTTAGTATATACGCAGAAAAAAATGGGAGTGTAAACAGCAGTCTAATATGAAAATCAACCCTGATAATTATGTTTGTACGGGTTAGGGTTAATGGATTTACGGGTGTGTTCAAATTATTTCTCATATTGCATAATTTCGCAAGTAAAAAACACAGATATTCTCATGATTCTTGATCATGAGTTGGATCTAAAGGTTTTCTCGCTAACACAGACTGTTTTTTTCACAGCTATCAGAGGCGTATGTCCTCTTGTGGCAGAACAGCTCAACAGGTGATGTCAATGGACGCCAGGGATCAAAGAATAAAATAGGCGGGTCCGTGTGTGCTGTTCTTCTGGATTTAATCGCCATGGGAAAAATAAAGATCGAGTTTGAAGAGAAGCAATTTCTATTCGTGAAATATACTGACATCTGGGTTAAGGTTAGCTGGATAGGGTATATACTCTTGCTTAACTCTGGAATTATTCTTGTATTATTAGGAAGGGAATTCAATTTCAGTTTACCATTGTTAAGACTGAGGGAATAAAATCAAAAGCTTGAGTTGTTCACTTTAGATACCGTAAAACAAGATATCTAAGTCTCGATTTAGAGAACCACGGTTTTCGAGTTTCGATTTCCGAAAACCACGAGTTTTGTCCATCGGCTAGGACAGGTTCTACCGTTTTAAGAGTAAATTTCAGTTTCATGCATATTCGAGGTTCTTTTGTTCACTTAAGCTTAAAATTTTTAAAATTGTCAATGATCTATCTAAGTGATGAACAGAACTGTTGTTTAAAAAACGTAGGTTATTGACGCAGCACCAACCGGAACATTCCTTGACAGAGCACTGTTTGCTAAAATTGCAGCAAAGCATAAAGAGGGCTACAAACGAAAGCTGGTGGACTGGATCCGAGATTGCATCACTACTTGGAACTGTGAGAATAATGTAGCTTCCGTTTGTCTTGACAGCCTAGTGCATGATGGAATTCTTGGAAAGGAGCGAAAATTGGCGGGAATGTACACAGATTATCCATTGAAAAATGCAGGTAACGAAAGGAAACCTGAATTTTACATGCCTCGAGAACGCCTTGTTTGAGTTAATATTAAGAACAAAAATATGTAGACATGGCTGGGACACCACTACCCTGCAAGCAGTGGTTTCTCTATGAAGGACCGGAAAGAGACCACTGCGAGCGACTGTTTGCTTCTTTGATCGAGCCGCCCTCCAGCGCCACGGACGAATATATTAAACACGTCAAGGCTCTCGCGCATTTGCTTACGCTTATGACTGCTGCCTCAACGCAAGCCTGCTGAGAATTTGCCTTCTTTCGCTTGTTTACATTCTCCGTAGAACGCAAAATTACGCATTTTTACGTCGTAGTTGTGCAAAAACGGCAAAGAAATGTACAAAAAAGGGTGAATGATGTGCAAAGTTGTTGTTTTGCTTATTAACCCTATTGAGACAAAGGACCTTCCTCGCCAAAAAGTAGAAAAACTTCAAGACCGTTCAAGCTAAGACCACCTAACTTAGCGACTAAAATTTATCTGGGAACATTTTAAAGTCGTCGTGACGTGTATGTCAACGTACACGTTACCATGGCAACTTCTAAACATAAGGTTTTATTATCTGTTAATGAAATCCACGCTTTTAGTGGCTTGTAGCTAGTTTGAGAAAAAAACATGAGTTTAATATTCCGAGTTTAATTTTCCGCCGAGTTCATACCACTCGGAATTTCATATTTTGCAGATTTTTTGCTTCCTACGGATCCTTTCACACTTAGGTCAAGTTTCCCATTAAGAATACCTTGATTTAATACGGGTTTTAAGTAAAATGGGATACATTCAACTAATTCAAAATGGCGGATTCAAGATGTCAAATGCTTCCAGTTCTTTATTTAGTAATAAATGATATCATCATGACATTACTGCTATTGTTTAAGATTATCTTTGTGTTAGCAAACTTCTTGAAATTATCAAAAACCCTACGATTTAAGTATTTTCGTTTTATATCTTCTTTGAGAGAAATTTGGATTCTGCCAATCAATTCAGCAATATGACGTCATAATGACGTCATGCCCAGAAGTTGGTGATGATGAGAAAATAATTCTGTGTGGTTTTGGTGGTCGTAGCATGAGCGTTTTTGAAGTTATAGAGGGGAGATCTCTTAGGCCTCCCTGCGGTCGGTTACCTTCGAGTATGGATCTTAAAGTCCCTAATATGTTTCCTGCGAAACAAGAGAAGGTGTAGTCATTTGACGTTTTAAAGAAGGCGTCAAGTGGACGCGCAAGCTTGATGGAAAAGTAAACAGTCGCTAACAGTGACTTCTAGATCTCCCCTCACAGCGTAGTGTCCGGCCTGGAGAAACCACTGCTCGCAAGGTAGGATACCGCCTGTGAAAGCTAGTATTTAAGAACCTTGTGAATCAAAGGAATAAGGAAAATCTAGATTATGGCAATAACAAAATATAGTCAGTAGCGGGATGGAATGACGAGCATTGAAAGAGCTAAAAAGAGGGCTGTGACAACTGACATTTTAGGGCAGGTGGGGTAACCCGTTTAGGTGCGGTAACCTGCCTGTACATATAGACTCTCGCTTTAAATTGATTACGTTTACAAGAAAGGTGGGGTGACCCGCCAAGGGGGGTAGCCCGGTCTGCTAGACCGGGTAACCCTCTCAGCCGGGATCAAATTTTGCCAAAAATAATAGTAACAACAGAATCCGAAATGAAAGCGGCAGCACTAAAGATTGCAGCAAAAGCTGCAAGTGAGTGTAGAAGAGCATTAATCGCCAAAACACGTGGCTTCCCAGCATTTTTCTTGTTTATGAGCTCACCGATCATTCAATAATCTTGAGAATGTGCACCCCGGGATGGCGGGTTGTAATATTGCACGTAAACGAGGGTTATTTTTATACCCCACCTGAGCAGGTTACCTCACCTAACTGGGGTCTCCCACCTCCATGTAAACAGGCCCTTAGTGAGTTTAATTTGCAGTTTGCCAATTTTCATGTATTGGGGCGGAAACCATTTCTTGCTCTTGGTGCAGATTGGGGTTCTAGAGTCTTGCGTTAATAATTAAGAGTCAAAATACAAGCAAAAAGATGTTCGAGAATAAAATAGTGCTGACTCAGTTCCAAGTAATTCAGCTCTGCCATTAATACTCGAACTGCTCGGGTCGATTGCTCTAATCGATGTTAGGGCCTGTTTACATGGAGGTGGGGGACCCCAGATAGGTCAGCTAACATGTGGCGGGTCACCTCACCTATCATGTAAACGTGATTAAATTAATATGAAAGATTATATGGACAGGCATGTTACCCCACCTAAGAGGGTTACCTCGCCTACCAGGGGTCCCCCACCTCCATGTAAACAGGTCCTTATTCTGATACATGCTAATAAGCAAGTTAGATGAAATTTGTTGCCATCACGGGGGATCTTTGTCAAACAATAGAATTTTGACAGTGGAGTTAATTCTTGCCGTAGTTTTTTATCAGTCATGTTCAATGTCGGCATGAACACGAGTGAGTGAAAAAATACTTTTTTTAATTACAACTCGTTCGACTGGACAAGTTGTGTCCATTCGACAGCCCAGACAGAGGTCGGTCGACTGGAAAAATACATTTCCCTCATTACATTTCCTTAAGTTGCCACAGAAACCATAATCGGGGTAGGAGACCGCAAGCGCGGGGTCCACGCAGTCCCATCGAAATACTCAAATGTGCCATTTTTAGAACAAATTGCGCCACTCTCAACGACATTAACTCGCTGGGGACCCGTCATCCTCGGAGAACCAGGGGCAGTCAGTCGGACCGGGAGAAAAGGGGTCTCCGAGGGTGGGGTTTCAGGAGATGGGCGATCGCCTTGCAACTTTACTTGAGTGTTCTGTAAACTTTCCATGTGCTTCATATCTCATATGTATCTACCATATCTATCATATGTATCATCCGTATTTTTGACACATCAATCGAAACCCAAAGTCAAGATGGTATTTTTGATATAGACATCTATAAACGTGGCAGTTAAATTTCTGTAAAGAAAAATCCACAACAGCTTAGCTCCGCTTCAATGCGTTGTTCATTTGTGTGAAAGGAAAACGGTTCAACGCTCTCCTAGCAGCTCATTTGGGCTATATGATATAAGTATTTCCTTCGTTATTGCTTAAATTTTTCGTGATCCGGAAAACTAACAAGAAACGGAAATATCTAAGATAGAAATACGTGCACGATATATCACTTGGTGTATCTTATGCATGGCATCTTACTCAGAATCATACAGAGAAATGCGATGACTCTGTTGTTGTTTGTAGGCCTGTTGCTTTTTTTCAGTGCCAAAACATCTTCATCAACTAATTGCATTTGCCATTATTTGTCGCTGTTGGTGCTAACTTTCTGTCCCCCTTTTCCTGAATCTTTTTTTTGGCCACACGGGATATTCCTTTTGGACGACATCTCCGACATCTCTTCGTCAACTCGATTGTCAAAAGCATTGTTTACAAAATGGACTTTAAGATCCAACGACACGACGGCAACGAGAACGTCGCTTAAAAAGTGAATTTGCGTTCCTTCAGTCTTAATAGCGATTATTCCTACCCACTTACTTTGTCAAATGTAGGGGAACCCTCCGGAAGCTGAATTTCAAGGGATCATAGCCAAGCTCAGAAAGAGAAATAAAATTTCGTCGTTGCTTGTTTACGTCCTTCATAAAACTCAAAATTAGGCATTTTCACGTCGTAGTCTTGCAAAAATAGAAAAGAAATGTACAAAAAAGCGTGATGCACGTGCGAAGTTGTTGTTTTGCTTATTAAACAAATTGGTTTTCTGACGTTCTCGTTGCCGTCCGCGTCTTTGGATCTTAAAGTCCGTAACAACTGGAATCATTTTCATAGCCATTCACATTCATAGTCATTGTAAAAGAGGTTCTCCTCAAGGGCTTGTCTAAAATCCGAAAGGGACAATGATGACAAAAAGGGAATTAATTTATGTCCTGCGAAGGTAATCTCCGACGCCATTTTGTCTGTGTATTCTTTGCGCCGCGTTTTCGCAAAAATTGCGCACGTATATCTTACGAGTTGGCGCAATTTGTACTAAAAATAGCACATTTGACTATTTTGATGGAACCAACCCCATTATTGAAAAAGGCATCCAGTTACGGTCTCCTACTCCTGTTGTAGTTCCTGGTTGCCAGAATCTAATGTGGTTTGATTTTAGCCATTGTTAACCCCTTTGAGGTACAATAAAGTGGTTGGCAAGGGGGACCTTACAAAAACTCGAGGTCTAAGGGCTCAATCGGTATCCTTATCATCGCCTTGTTATCCCCTTGAACCAAGAGAGGATAAAGGGTATCCTCTCTTGCCTTGAACATAAATCTCTACCTTGATCAACCCAGCCACCTTCCAACCACACCCCGGCCTACACCTGCCGTTCTACTCCAACGCCCAGTCGTTTTTCATGTTACCACTCGGCTTTACCAACAAGCTACAGTTGATTTTTTTTCTTTGGTAATTGTCTCTACTATAAAGTTTATTATCACTGTGTTATTTCAGCGCCCAAGAGAGAGTTATCGCGTGAGATAAGAAAAATTGCCCTTGAGGGAGCCACGCCAGATTCTTACATGAGAACGCTGTTAACAGTTGTCAGAGTTGTGGACAATTATTATTCGCTTGATGATCCTTTCCTTGAGCGATACTTCAAGAAGGAAGAATATAAAGAGGCCAAAGCTACGATTAAACAAGTTGTCATGTATAATGCTTAAACAAGAGCATCTTCTTATAAACAGCTGCGGGTCTATGCTATAAATTCAAAGAAAAAAGTAAATAGTATTTCTCCAAAAAAAGGACACGACAAAACAGGCGACATACACTTATAGTTGAGGTATAGTGGTAGAACTATTAGTAGTAGTATTTAAGGCTTTTGTTTCATCGCAATGTGTTTTTAGGGTGTTTTTGTCGAAAAATCATGACCATATATCTCCTTCAAGAGACGGCGACGTTGCCCATAAAGTGACTTCACTTTGTTTTTAAACTTCGGTTCCGAAAATTTAAACCCTGCTGCTTGATTTATTAAAAGCAGGGAAATTTCCCAGAAGTTGAACGCTTAAGGAGTGTAATCCATTGAAGTTCAGAGAGAGAAAAACGTAAATTGTTATTTTAGGTTACTTTTAGCTTTCACGTTTTTATATCGGGACAATGGGGGCAAGCTAAGCATGGTTTGTCTAACTGCTTACAGAGCAGAGGCAGGACTTTCCTAATGAAAGGTTAAGCCGTATAGACCTTTGTCACGCGGCGGCCATTTTGTCTCAGGAGATTTAAAAAGCTTTGTTTATGTATGGCTATCCTCGTAGAGAGAACGAGGCTGGCCGTGCATAAACAACGCTTTTCAAATCTCCTGAGACAACATGGCCGCCGCGTGACAAAGGTCTATTGGTCCTGCCAAACCCTCAACATCCCTTTCTGTCAAAAGCATCCTTGTTGAAAGCAAAAGGGAAGAGAACAATTTGAGAAAGGAAATTCCTAACTGCACACAAAACAGGTAAACACTTTGTGACGTCATAAATTGTCACGTGATCATTTTTGTTTCTGTTTTGCTAAAATCAACTTTTTTGAGTCAAAAACGAACATCTAAATGATACGATTTTGGATAGCTATAAGCGGTTTACGTTTAAAAACATCATAGGGATTATTAGTTAAGGAAAACTATCTGTTCCTAGGGTGGCACTTAACTTTGTTAGAAATCCCATAACTCGAGTATTCTCTCTTGCTCGAGTTCCACGTGTCGTCGCGAGAAACAGTTTTCAGTGTTTTACTTCCCTTCTAAAGCTCTTTCAGATGATAAAATTTAGAATTTGAAATAAAAAATTCATTAAACCCATTTTGGTGACGTCAGCCGTTGTAATTGCGTCAAACAAACACTTGCAATTATTTGGTCTATAATCTTAAGCCCCATTCACACCAACTTTTAAACATGTTTGAAAGCTGTTTAGTTAAACACGGGTAAATTTTTTTTCTTTATAAAAGCTTCCAACTGTACTTTTTTCAATTGCTAATTTATTGCGATTACGTAACGTGCTTAAATTCATTTGAGTTCTGCGTAAAAGCCTGAGTTCTAGTTTTCATTTACACATGACTGTTTTTTGTGTTTTAAAACCTAGTTTAATGAAACATGTTCAGTTGGTGTGTCTATCTGGCAAGTTTGGTCAATAAATGAAAAAAAAGGTAAAAGATGCGTAAATTTGGCCTTAATGGTCTCTCTTCGTATTTCTTTATTCATGTCACTGAAATAATGTATATAAGTTTTAGCGTAAACGTAACGAAAAAGAAAGTGATACTGCTCGTGGCACGCAGAAATCCCACAAGGTCGGCTATTCAAAGACGCGCGTGAAATGCGAACACTTTTCACTTGGTAAATAAATGAGTTACCTAACAACGAGAAACGATAATGAGCCCCTTAGTTTTATAACAAATGAATCATCTTAGCGAATTGTATGTAATTTAAAGCAAAGAAAAACGCTTTTTTACGCAGCTTGTTTTACCTTCGTTTATTTGTCCTGAGTAGAATTTTACTGTCAGCTTACAAAACCTTTTAAATTCCGGTTCCAGTTGCTTAACAGGTGGATAGCGTTATCCACCGGATAAATCTCTACTGCCAAAGGATAATGCCTTTCCACGAATGGTGATTTATACGGTAGTGCTATCCAGCTTTTGAACTACTGGGGCCTGGACGTTAAATGTGGCTGTGGAAGCTGGCGTACAATATCAGACAACACCAGGAGCCGCGATAACCCTGACAACGGCCAAGCACTGAATTACGTAAAGTTCAAACAGGTAAGACGGTTATGCGATGCAGTGTTATGTATCATAAAATTGGTCGTCCAAAATTATTTTCTAATTCATCGATTAAAGCTCTGTGATTTTCAGTCTAGTGTCTGGTACTGATATCCGACAGCTTCTGCTCGATGAGATTTCTCTTGCTCATGATGCGTCATGCTGCTTCGGGGCCCTCCGACGCATTCGGTCCTGGGGGAGGCGGTGTTTGCCATCAGAATGAATTGCGATATGAGTTTTTGGCTCTAGCCCAACATTAAGAACTTTCAAATAATCATATTGACTGTAGAGCTCACAAGAAAACTTAACAAGGAAATCAAACGGCCATGGGTTGTGACCTATGTGACTAACATTCCAACCCATTCGCTCTCTTACGAAATCTGGAAACTTGTGAGAGAATATATGGAATTCACTATATGCATTATTTGATAAATGATGAAGCAGATACCTGGAAAAAGTAAGCTTTAGTGAAAAACAAATGTGATCCAGGTACCATAATGGAGTACTTTCCTCATATTGTCTAATCCATTGCTTCAGAAGTTTGCTGTCAAATAAAATTGGTTCACACGTCTTAAAAACTGCTTTTATACAGGCGAAGTGCTGAAAGACCTCCTTTTGCCACATTCTCATTAAATAGAATAATCTTGTTGCTGTCTTCTTTGAGACACTTTTGTATGACGAAGTAGGTAGGAAACCCCAAACAAACTTTTTAAGGAAACTTGTAGAACGATTCTGCTTCCGAAGGCACATTTTTATATCATTTTGGGCGAATAACACCAAAAACATCAAGTCTAAAGATTCACGTTGGTTTGGTAGTGGTAATTGATCAAGTAGCAGCATTGAGAATTTTAAAGCCGTATCTGGAAATCCGATCTGAACACTTTCCGGCACCTTTAAGTTATCGAGAAGACAATCAAATATAGTATGGCGAGACTGAAAGGTAGTCACAAATCTTGACACAAAACCTCGGACGTCAGGCCTCAAGTCGAGATTCATTTTACTTGGAATCCAGCCAAACAACCTATTGTAAATGATATTACACTCAGCATCTCTTCTGGGGAACATCATTTTTCCGCCATGGTCTTCGATTATCCTTGCAACTTTCTTCCATAGAAAATAACTAGCAAATTTGATTTCAGATTCAAACTCAAATACCTTCGCTAAGAACAGTGGAGTGACCCCGTCCTTGTTAGGGCAGTTCACGTCTAACTGATGCTGTTCCTTTTGTTTTAATATCTCTTGAACAAACTTTACCAATCCACGAGAAGCTGCCAGATGATAAAGGGTCAGATCTGATTTACTGGAGTCACAAACAATCTGGAAGTTCTGAGCTTTCATTGCGTGGTGAAGAAGCTCAAGAGCTACAACAGATGCATTGTCCTTTCTAGCTAACAGTTTTGCACTTCCAAGAAGCTGTTCCCAGATGTTCCCACCTGAATGAAGTACTGCGAGGGTAAGCGCAGAATGTCCTTGTGGAGACAATAGAGTGAAATTTGCACCAATCTTCAAAAGACTACGAACAGCTATAAAATTAGCACCTTGTGCGGCTCTGTGGAGAGCTGAGAATCCCTCTGCATCTAGGCAAGTATTGATAACCTTGTTTTTTAATCGATGCATTTCAATAGCTCTTTCAAGAGGACTCTTATTTGGCAAACATAAATCATTTTCACACTTAACTAGTTGAAAGAAATTATTTTCCTGAAGCTTTGGCGGGAAATAACTCAACAAATGAAAGGCTGATGTGTTAAAAGGCTTTCCACACTCAATATTTACTGAGTCATTGAGGTGTTTAAACGGAAAGGCCGCCCAGTCTCCACCATTGTTGATGAAAGCAACGAGTGGTGTTCTTCCTAGATAATCTTTGCAGTTAAGGCTAGCTCCCTTTAGCAACAAAAGTTGAGCGATGTAAGGTTGCCTTTTTGCTAACGCATGGTGTATCAAGCTAATACCGTTACGATTGCACTTCTTGAACGACGCCCCAGATGAAAGGAGAAGATAAACGACCATTTCATGATCACGCAAATGCTCTTTCAACTCGTGAAAATCTTCCTCGGGATTGAACGACCAAGTTAGTGATTCTGCCGTGCAGTTTTCTACCGCCACTTCCAAAGGTGTTTTACCAAGCTTGTCAGGTATGTCGAGCTTTGCTTTTCTTTGAAGCAGAACATTGACGGCATCAGCCAATCCATTTGCCGCTGCTATATGCATTGGTGTTCGACCGTTTTTGTCAACTACATCCACATCAGAACCACGTATGATCAAATTGATAAATGCATCTAACCATCGGTACTGGTCTGTGTTTCTTATCATTTTGTTTTTATCATAAAACGCTGCGAGATGGCCTCTACGGTCAACTGTCATTAAGTGAAGGATACCACCTAAATCCGTCCTATTCAAAAGGATTTTACGATCAAGTTGACTCCATTGAATACGAAGAATTGCATAATGCAATACCGACAGACCATCTTTGTCAACTGCACTGAGATTTGCTCCACGGACTAGTAGGAAGTCGATAACTTCAACGGCACTACATGCGGCAGCGCTGTGAAGAGGTGTCGAGTCATTATAGCTTCTGCTGTTTACGTTAGCACCGACTTTCGAATGCATAAGAAGACTTAAGAAATCCTGCTGATTGTGACAAGCAGCAACATGAAGGGGTGTTGCACCAAAACAGTCAGGAGCATCCACTCGTGCCCTACCATTGATAAGACTTATTCCGATATCCCAGTGCCCATATCGGGCAGCCAAGTGGAGAGGAGTATACCCACAGTGACATACATCGCTATGGTATTCTAGAGACTCTTGAAAACTCAATATCAAAGATTGCCTTGTTTCATTATGCTCATCTGCGCTTTGCCATTGATTACAAGTTTCATGCACCAAAGCACCTTGTTTTTGGAGAAGCAGCTTCACCATTTCAGTGTTATTTTTACGAATGGCTTCATGTAAAGGAGTTCGTCCAGTATAGTCTCGACAAAGAATTCCTGCTTGTGGCGAAGAAATAAGCTCCCTGACTACCGCTATGTGGCCTGCTGAGACTGCCACGTGGAGCGCAGTTTCGCAAAATAATAGGTGTTTGTCGTCGAAAAGTTCGCCATCCTCGGTGATGTGTTCTTTTTGTTCCATACAATGCTCTTCTGTCTGCATTTCATCCACGAGGCACTCCTTTTTTATAACAAATCTTACTTCGTTTTTCTTAACTTGGCTTTGTAGGCGGTGTTTTCGTGAATTAAGCCAGTAAAATGAGCCATCGCATCTCATGCACCTATCCCTCACACCGATTTTTAAAAGGTACTTTACTACTTCTAACCTACCGTTAGCAGCTGCGTGATGGAGAGCGGTTTGATCTGCGATTGCACCAGCATTATATAACGTTTTAACAACCTCTAAATGCCCATTCTCAGCAGCTAGCTGTAGCGCGGTTAAATTGACACCATTGACGGTTGAAATGAAAACACTGTTTTCAATTAGAAAGTTAACGACCTCGAGGTGCCCTCCATGAGCCGCAGCGTGCAACATCGTGGATGCCCAGTGTTTAGACTTTGAAAGAAGTGCCGGGGTGCAAACATATTCTTTATTGTCAAAGTCACCAGACTCTTCTCCTTTTGTTTTGTTAATAGAAGCTAGCGACTTTGTTTTACGATTTACCTTGGCTCCCCTCGTCACCAGCAGCGCCAGATTATTTACAAGCCCATGCTCTGCAGCCAAGAAAGCAGGTGTTATCCCACGATTATCAACACAATCGATGCAGCTAAAATGCCGCAATAACAATTTCACCACATCTGTGCTATTTATGGTCGCTGCAAGATGCAACAAAGTCCTGTTGGTTGTAGGATCCGAAGAATTGACAACCTGAGAAGGAAAACTGAGAAACTTTTGGACGTAAGACTCCTTCCAGCCACCACAGGCTATGTGCTGTGCCAGAAGTAACATATATTTTGACAATGATGACTTGTCTCGGCCAGAAATTAAGCTGAAGTAGTAATCACAAAAAGTCTCGTGCCCTTTCTTTTTGCTGACATAAAATGGACCATTTTTGTTGTTATCGCTGGTAAGCCATTCTGTTAAGGAGAGATGATACAATGTCACTGTATCGTTCTCTCCATATCTTATGAAGTGCCCTAACTCTTTCATTCTATTTTTAAACTCGTATTCTTCTTCCAGATGTTTTTCCTTTGTTTTAAGAACTTTGAAAATCTCTTTTCGAGACAGTGGATGAAATGTTGCCACAAGCAGTTCAAGAACTCGTCGAATAGGTATGAATTGTTGCGGCCTCCTATACAGTCGTTCGAAGTAGCTATGGTATAATTCTCCCAGCGTTTCAGGTAGTGCATAGGGGTCACTTTTTTCAGCTCTGGAAGTTTCCCAGTGGTGAAGCATCTCCTTGACGAACAAGAAATTCCCTTGACTTTTACTCAGTAAAGCAGAAACTAGCCTGGCTGTGTTTTTTATGCTATTATCTCCAAACCAAAGTTTAATTTGGTGAACTAAGGGGCCATCTTGTAGAAGCCTCGTTGACAAAAAGACTTCAATGTCCTCCATGTTTCGACTATCTTCAGGATCAATACTAAACTTCATTACGCTGTTTGAAGCCATGTAAATACTTGATTCATTACGAGATGTCATCACAAGTTTCATCCATGATGGAAAACGGGGAAGCTTGTTATGTAGCAAATAAACGATGCTGTGGCTTGTTTCAGTTTGAGTGAGGCATTCATCTAACGCATCAATGACAATATACCAATTCTCTTTCGGCTTATTTTTTAAACGCTTTAATGGTGTCAATATTGCTTGTTCAAAACATCCCACGGGATCGTCAATGGTGACGCAGTCAGTGGTCAGCGATCGCTGAATGTAGGAATTGTTGGCAACAATGTAACCATATTCTGGAAGTCTGCGAGCTATCATATCGGCTAAGCTGCGAACAAATTTGCCTCCGTTCTGCGTATTTCTGTCAGAATGCCTACAAAGGTGGTACCCCAATACATGATCATGGATGGTTCGGCTTGACGTTCGGGAACAAATCAACTGTGCAGACAAGGCAGACTTTCCAGCACCAGGGTCCCCGATGATTAAAACAGCAGACATTCCCGGGCGTAAAGGAAGGAATGCATTCTCTATCTCTTGATATAACCACCGACGACCGATGAAATTTTCGCGAGCAATAGTTAGATAATCGGTCAAATTAAACTCCTTGGTGTCAAAAGGAACACTGATATCTTCTGAGGGGCATCCTAAAAGTTAAAATCGCATATTATTTATAAACTTTAAATAAAGAAACTTATAGAAAGACAAGTGTATCATTTGATAAACAGCAGCTGAAATATTCACGGGATCGGAATGGTACAATAAGACTAATAACAGTCACCACTTACAAATACCAGAACAGGAACACCTAAAACGTGTGATAGAGCACTTGGCGCACCTAAAATATACTGGAGTAAGCGAAACGCAGCTGAAAACACTAAAGAGGTTAAGAGTGGACATTAACGGCAAACGTAAATTTGTACCACGTGACCAAGTTTTCACCTGATTACCTGTCGTTTACTGTTGATTACTTCTACAATTTAAAATTAGTATTTTTACGTTATTTTTATCCATATTATTATTTTAGTACTATTATTACCATATTGCTATTTTGAGAAATTCTCAACTTGGAACTGACGTTTGCCGTTTTCCGTAAAACATGACTCTTAATTTCTCTTGTGTTTAAAATATTTAAGATAAAATAATTTCAGTTAAAAACATACCATCCTTAAATGACCTGTGATCCAGAATGACAATACAGTAGCACAGGAGGACTAACTTAAGCCAAAGGGTGAAGAATTTTCGTTGTATGCCTTTCACCCTTTTGATCAAAAAAATGATAATCGACATTTGCAGCCCAAGAATTTGAACAAGGCTAGACAAGGATGTTGGGTGTTTTTTGTCTACCTTATCTAAGGCTTTATTCAAATTACGTAGTTGTCCTTCCACACGCGCTCTTTGCTTTTTGTCTTTCTTGGATTGCTTTCTTAACGACTTCTTCATCTCACTCTTAAGACTTGAAATATCGTTGCGAATTGCCTCCTTGAAATGAGATAAGACTTCGGCTTTGAATATGTGTACATCCGAAGTACACTTGAGGGCTAAAATATCTCGTAGAGCGCCCTGTGCATCTGGATCTCCCCCAAATACTGGATCTTGGAGAAGCCTCTCGATAGTTTGAAAGGCAGCCCTTTTTTCTGCTTCGGACAACTCTAAACTCGGAACATGCACCCATTTTGTGTTTCGGGTTTCTCGGACATCTTTAATCACCGACCGCTGAACAGTAAAGTGATTGCACCAGAACATCAGATTTAGAATACCAGTAATGTCCATGTCCTCGGCGTTTTCTATCACAGTATGTCCTCCAAAATCTGGGAGAAAGAGCTTCGCTATCTCCCATTTACCTTTATTGCGATCCAACCATTTACGGGGGTCGCTTTGCTTCCAGTTTGGCTTGTTCCCTAGGTGAGAGCTCTGGAGAAGTGTTGCCCATGCACACGTGCTCATGTCGTGGTACTGGTTCTTTTTCCTGCTTGGATCATAGACACAGGTACAGGGTCTCGCGCATAGTGCTGTAATTGAGGCTGTGATGTTGTTATAAAAGTTATTCATCTCCCTTGTAATGTATGGACGAAGACCTTTACAAAGTACGGATGTCAATGCGCGCCCGAGGGAAAGCCAGTTTCCTTCTTCTGGCGAAGTTAGTTGCACGAATGCTTGGGAAATCCCTTTAGATGCCATCTTTACTGACACTGAATCAATAAGAACAGAAAAATGACTAAGTTTGCAAACATTCTGCACCGCTTTTGATGCTTGATTTTAGTTTAGGCAAAACTATTGTAGTTTTACTTGCTAATGGATATCAACGTAATTTGATATGTCTCAGTAATTTTTTTTTTCAATAATTTTAGGCCCTGTCCTCTACAAATCCAGATATTTTTAAAACCGCATATTTTTTTCACGAATGAGCCTTCTGTCCACGCGAAACCAGTGAATCACCGAAACTGCATCTTTTTCAAAACCGATCTAGGCGCCATCCACACGAATCCGGGTATTAAAAAAAGTATGCGGTTTAAAAAATGTCCGGATTGATCTGGTGCAGAGAGGCGGCACCACGTAAACATCCAGAATGAAAAAGTTTCCAAAAATGCATTCGTCGAATGCTCGACGATGAATAGTGCCCACTCCAGTGGGTCATAAAGGCTTAGAAAACACTTTCCTTTGCCAACGAAAAGTGACGTTCATAAGCTTATCTGTGCAATTTACTTTATTCACTCTAGCGAAGAATGCAAATTTATTTATTCATGTTGTCTATTTCTTTTACTGCAGTATGCAAATTTCTGTATGTGTCGGTCAGTTCGAGAGTATGGGATACGGTCTGATAAATGCAATCAATTTTCTCTTAAAACTCTCAATCCGCGCTGTTCTTTTTACAATTTTAACGAGATAAATATCATTAAGGGCCAGTTTACAGGGAGACTGGGGACCCAGGATAGTTGAGGTAACATGTGGTGGGTCACCCCGCCTGTCATGTAAACGCGATCAAATTAAAATGAGAGATTATATGGAAAGGCGGGTTACCTCACCTACCTGGGGTCCCCCACCTCCATGCAAGCCCTAAGAGAGAATCATTCTCTCTTGATATCATGAGTTTATAAAAAGTGATACTGAGTATTTCTTTACACTTAGTTTAGCATGCAGCAATAAACGTCTAGGTCAGAATGTCGATAAAACCTGCCCCGCAAGACCTGCATTCTGTAAGGTCCATGTAGCCCGGGGAGGTCCCTTTGTTTCGCCAGCTTCATTCAAAGTGTTGATGACGTGAACTTCTGAATACATCTCAAAATAGTAACACGGGTGCTCACTCTGCTTTTGAATTCTCAACGCACATCGGCGTGTACTATTCACTAAGATTAAATAATGTCCCTTGTCAGACAAATCGTCACAACTTATCAACGCGTTTTAGTTCATTTTCTACTTGTTATATTACAAACTGGATACAGACAAACATGACTAATGGATCCCTTTCTCTATTTTACCGCCCATTTGAGCTAATATATTAAGCCGGATTCTAAGAGTTATAAGTTTAACAGAACTGTTTCTACATCAGTTAAAAACAACAAGTACCGTATTTTCGCTAGTAGACCGGTTGCAAATGCAAAATTTAAGCTGACTAGTTCAAGATGCACTAACCGTGATGAAGCGGTGAGAAACGCCTTCCCAACAAGTGCTTTTACTGAAATGCATAAAATGAAACTGAGAATTAGAAGAAAAGTACAAATAAAAGTTTTAAGTAATCTGATTACATCAGTTTGATTCTTAAAGAGGCAAATCATTCACAATTTAATTAAGCATAACAGGGAAGGAGCTGTTGAAGGGAGGAAATGAAGCGATGAACTGTCACAACTCCTCTAGAATGAACGCCACTGTTAAATTGATGCAATTAAATGGAACTGGAGTAGACTAAACTTGACAAACGTAAAGTCAAAATGTACGTATCCTTTCATAAAAGCAACTAAAAAGCCCTAATACTATTACTAACTTCTTGAATTTGAGTCGTCTAGGAGAGCGGACAAATACGCAGATGTAGAAGTAATTATGGTGACTGATATACGTACCTTGCAATAATCGATACTTATTTAAGTATATAATTATCTCTTTCTGTGGTACAAGGTACGTTGCAAGATGAAACGGCGTTTGTACACCAGTGAAAATGTAGTCTAACCGTATTGACTATTTAACGCCAATGCTAACGGTGATGAAGCATAAGGGCGGGAGTAAAATGCAAATTTGGTAATTAGGTGGCCAATCTTGATGGGAACGTGGAAGAAGAACCAATATGTCACGCAGCCCAACCTATGGTTGGTCATCCGTAACGAGATCCGTTGGGCAAGCTTCATTTGTTTCTAACTGAATAATCCACCTAAAGGACTGTAGACCAAGCATGTTGCATGTCTTGTATAACGAGATGGAACGACAATAGATACCCGTTGTTACGTACTTTCTCACTGAAAAGTTATGTTAAACTGATTTTCATACGCAAAAGAGTTCTAGCCAATCAGAGGAGCGAACGATGTTTTTCACAACAGCCTACTTTATAGCTACAGATGAAAACGAGGCTGGAATTGACCTGGTTTTGATACTATCCTTCCTGCTTTATTATGTAAATCGTGTTGTCCTTATACCAACAAGTATTCTTTTAACCATAATTCCCATGAGAAAAGAAAAGAGGTTTGTATCAAAGCAAGGTCAACCTCGGCCTCACATTCAGTCAAAGGCTAAGATTCTAAGCCCATAACTGTAAAATGGCCCGTTGTAATAATTGATACGTCCAATCAGAAACGTGTGGAAAAATGATACATCAATTTATCCAATTCAAAAGCAACAAAGGTGTGTGGGTTTCGCGCCAAAATCTCGCATTTTAAAGACGCTTACAGCTTGCAGCTGTTCCTGCCCAATCTTATTGAAATTTTAGAAAAACCCTTAAAGTGATGAATCAATTCCAGTGAAACAAATGACCATTTTTGAAGTGCTCCTAAAGTCAGTGGTTTCACAGTTCAGGTTGGCATGTGTTGAGGGAGCCAAGCCAGATTCTTACATGAGAACGTTGGTAACGGTTTTCAGAGTTGTGGACAATTATTGTTCGCGTGATGATCTTTTTCTTGAGCGATACTTCACAAGAAGGAAGAATATAAAGAGGCCAAAGCTAATCTTAAACAAGTTGTCATGTATAATGCTCATACAAGAGCGGCTTCTCTTTAAAAGGCTCAATGAAGTAAATTATCGCCCCATGCATGTAACGGTGTTCCACGCCGTGGATTCCGGATTTCAGGCACTTAATTCCAGTCTATTTTAGTAGAACTTGGATTCTGGATTCCAATTCTTAGTGGGATTCCGAATTCTTTGAGCTGTATTCCAGATTCCAAAACCCAGAATTCCGGATTCCACAAAGGAAAAATTTACCAGATTCCGGATTTCACAAGCAAAAATTTCCCTGATTCCGGAGACCGGATTGCCTTACATGGGGTGAAAATGAAAAACAAAAAAGTCGATAGTATTTCTCCGATCAAAGCTTTTTACCGCTGACAAGAGTGACGAATGCGGAGGGCGGCGAAACGTGCCAAGAACACGTAGATGGGACGAGAAAATCTCCCCGAAACCAGATCGAACAAAGAGTAAAACAAAAGATGGAGATCGACGTTTTAATTTAATCAAAACTGAGATCATTTATAAGGAATAATACAATGAACTTTAAATTAAGGCTCTCAGAGTTATTACAGTACGTGAAATGTGAGTGTTTACAATAAATGCGACTAGTAACTAGGAACAAGAAAGGATAAAGCTCTTGTTAGGAAAAAACCTTTAGCCTTGAATTTCAAGCTTCTCTCTCAATTCATAATTTCTTAATATGCTTTCACAACTGCAGTTAATATTTTCATGTTAACACGCTATTGTTCCTGTGAGAAGGCAGTTCTCCTTTGCAAGGGCAGCTCTCCACTATCATTCCCAGACGCATCTTTGTTATACAATTTCTTAAAAGCGTTTCTAAACTGCGGGTTAAACAACCCATAGATTAAAGGATTACAAAAACTACTAGAAAACATCATGTAATACACGACAATATAAACCCAACGTGGCGCTGAATACTCTATTATCTCACAAAAACCTACAATACAAACTGGTGTCCAGCATGAAACGTACACAAATACAACCGCAACGAAAACTTTAACAACCTTCGTTTCTTTCTTGACTGACGGTGCATTGTTCTTCTGTTGCCTGTGACTTTCTTCCTGTAAGTGGTTTTGAATCTGACGAGAGCTTCTTCTTACAAACCGAAAAATCGCAAAGTAACAGCAAATAATAACCATCATTGGTATAACAATCGAAACTGACAGTAAAAAGGAGATGTAGGAAATATCTGGGATACTCCATCCCATTGTGCAATCGGTGAATTTCTCGCTGAACTCTATAGTTCCCCAGCCATATACAGGAGGGCTACATACAACTATAGGCAATACCCACGAAATAATGATTATTTTAAGGGTTACTTTACGATCCGAGAAATACTTCATGAATACGTTTCTACGGACAATGCTGAAATAGCGGTTTAACGCGATTCCGGCCATCGTTTGAAGCGAGGCTACACCAAACACCAGCTCAGAGAACCCAACGATCTTACAAGCCACGTCACTTAATAGCCAGCGACCACTGCTCATGCTCATAATCCAAAATGGAAGATGCAGTGTTGCCATGGAGATGTCGGTCCATGCAAGGTTCTCGACCAACATGTTGGTGACTGTTTTAAGGCGTGGAGTTTTGTGAATGGCGATCACAACGGTTACATTCCCAGCAATACAAGCGAGACATATCAAAACTGCGATAGTTACTTCGATTCCGACTTGCAGTGGAGTTCTTCCAAGAGGATCTTTGACACTAAAACTGCTATTTCGACTAGAATCAGGTTCAAAGTTCGATTCCATTCTGAATGACAGAAAAGAAAAGAAGAGAGATGTCAAAATGGTAAAGAAAATTCAAATGAAATTCATATGATAACGAAATATAGAAGAATTTCATATATTGGAATCGCGGGTTAAAACAATAAATGCATAGAATATCACGGCAGTTAACTAATTGCGAAAAGAAAGCCTGAAAAATTCAGTGCATTTTCGGCCATAAATTTATTTTTGGCACGTAAAAATATCCACCATTACTGTCTTTTTTAAACCATGGGAAACTGGTTGTCCCCGGCAGAAGACACCTATATTTTGCTCTGATCTTTCTCTTCTTTAACTCAGGGCGTAACTGTTTGAACTTTACGCGTTTTCGGATCACATGCTTTTTTTAAACTCTTAACAACCAACTCGTTTTAATCAACGCCTTTGCTGTTATCAAAAAAATGATATTGAAATAAGTAGGGATGTAAACATCTTTTCTTTGATGGTTTCTGCCTTAACATTTCTTGTCGGTAGATTGCAACTCTCAAATTAAAGTTATGAAAACATATTGGTTAATGTTATAGAATAAATTGTTTTCCTATATATATCCAACACCAAAGTCAACCTCAACAATTTCTACTCCCAGGGGAGAACTCCGGATTTCAAGTGACAGGAATGATCGAATAGGGTGAAAATTGGCCAAAACCCCCACGAAGCCCTAGGGCTTCCAACAAAACTAACCGGGACCACAAATTAACCCAAAAAAAAAAAAAAAAAAATCCCATGCATACATGCCGAATTTCCGAGCCTTAACAAGTTTGGTTGCACTTTATTCGCAGAGCTCTGAGACCTGGATCTGCGGGCACTGCCACGAATTTCAGATTGCTTTAAATCAAGCCAACCAAAAAAAACATTTACCAAATTTTCTTACCCTGAAAAATCCCGGAATCATAAAAAGTTCAAACCCAAAAATATCCTTCGATAATCCCCGTAACTTGAAATCAGGAGTATCTCCTCCCCGGGCTTCCACTGTGTGCAAATCAAATGAGCAGGGATGCATGAGCAGTGCATTCTGGAACCCAGGAGCTCTTCTCCATTGCGCATAACTACGGGCGAGCGCAGCCATAAGATCCGAAAGCTCTGGTGACGAGATTGCGATTAATTTATACATTGCTGGGAGTGTTGTTTCGCCTGGAGAGCTACAACACCTTAGTGAATTTTAGAGGGAAAAAGGCATTGTTTAGTCTTGCAGAAGCAAACTCGCCGAACTAGGAAAATATTTTTAACATTGAACAACATTTATTTCCCAGTGAATCAGAGTTCGTTTATACGAATCAGGCTATATTTGTAGAGAATACATAAATTATTCTTTAGGAGTAATTTTAAGAGTAATATTTTTATTCTTATTTTTTTTATTTTCATTTATATCCCAGCCGCTTAAACTGTCAAAAGCAAAACGTTAAATACCAAGGGACTGCATATAAGTTTAGAAAGAGTTTTCTTCGTAAATTTACGCACCTCGCAAAGCTAAGTCATACTCCTCCATAAGAAATTTCACGTTTTTGTGCTGTGACGTCAAAGAAATGAGACAAATGAAGTCATCCGATACACTCGAAGTACGGGTCAAGCAGTTTGCAGGGCAAAGGCAGCAACTTCATCCAGCAGTTTTGAGCCAGGAGGAAGTTAAACTAACACCTGATGAACACTGGTCCGAACCCGGGGATCAAACCCTTGACCTCCCTCATCCAGCCCTCTAGCGGTCTTAAGAGATTTCTCGAGATTTCCTTTCGACACAAACGCATCCTTTTGATCTTTAACTAGCTCTAAATCTTTGTCACGTCACACTTTCTCTTAAACAAAGATTCCGCAAACAAGAAAAAAGAAAAAGAATCAAATGTAGCTAAATTTTGCTCAACACTTTTTATGGAAAAACTTGAAACACATTTTATTGAAAGGACAGTTCGTGCACAATTCCCCACGAGAATTTAGATGAAAAGCTTTGACTGAGTCTAAAAAGGATTATTTGATTGAACCGGAAAAGATGCGCATTACCTACCTTCTACCACCAGTACAGCAAGTCTAGAGCAATAGTGATCGATAGTCGGCTGCGTTAGAGTGTTAAAAACGTGGATATTACAAGGCGTTGAAAAATTGAAAAGTTTCTGCGTTTGAAAAAAGGGATCAGTGGAGACCTATCACAGGTGTCCATAAAAAAACAATCAATTATAAATTCGTTAATTCTCCCTAGAAGAAGGGCCTCATTCCAAGTTCTATATCGAAAAGAAGGGAATCTCCAAAGCAGTTAGTGGCTGGACAAAGCAGAACTGGCAGTGACGATTGGTTTCTTTGAATCAGATAGCCTCTAATTCCTTCCAGGAATTTTACGGCTCTTCTAGCTGCAAACTCTCTCGTGGCCATGGATTTGCTGATTCGAATGATATTCACAGCACCCTTCCACAAACGGAGTCACGAAACGCCAACTGAATAGGAAGAAGAAAAGAAAACAGAGTTTTTGCTGCAATAATCATTTACTTTTGTTAATTCTCATTCTAAAATTTTACACTTATAAAGCTACACGTGATTACTACATGTATAGGTTCATGGTTGAGAAGCACTGAGAAGTTTGCCGTTCTCTCTTGCAGTGTAACAGCGGACGTTTGGAGAACTTGGTTTTATTATCAAGGAAATACAGAACTTTGAAACACCTGTTTTATTCCGATGCAATAATGGTAGTAACAAAAAAAACATCAACGCCGGGATTTTAATTAAAGGAAAATTTTGTCGAGGACTGAGTCAATTTAAGATAACATTAAAAGAAGTCAGGCCGAGTCTGTTTGGATTAGATAAAAGGGCTTTCAAGAGTTATTTCTACGTTGTCCAAACAAGGCCAAAATCGTCATCATATCTGTTGCAAATTAAAAACTTACAAGGCAGTATTAAACTTCTTTTGTTAAGATTTTAATTATACATTACATAAAAATTAAAAACTGGAGACAAAAAGTTGTAAACAGCAAGGAAAATCTAAATTGTTTTACGATGGTTTTAATTTTTGTTTTCATTGAAAAGTTCATTACTGAAATTTACTTTTGTATGGGAGATTGTCAACGCACAAAGCAAAGTCGCGCCAGCACTGAACATATAATCTATTGAAAATGATTAAATAAGAATTGAAAAAGAAAGGTTTAAGATCGCTAAAGATAATGCTGTTACAAGATAACGCTGAGGATGAATATGAAATAATGTTAGCAACCATGCTTAACTAAACTGCCTAATTTTGGGACTACATTATGGCTCTTAGGAAAAACTGTGGAGGTCCACGCAAGGCGAAAATAAAACTGACTGGTTCCTCTTGCTTAAAGAGATGCTGTAGCCAGGCGTCACTTGATGCGCAAAATGAAACAAAACTGAATGCAAGCCTGGCACAGCGGCAAAGGGCTGATTTATTATAGGCCAATATTTCGGCTAACAAACTTAGCCTTTCTCAGGGCCAGAGTTATACCGACCGAAATTTTGTCGATCCAAGAACTCTATCGTTTAAAAGCGTTGATCACTTTGGAACAAGTGAACACTACTGAGTGGTCGAACAAAAAAAAAAGATCTTTTTTAGTAAAACTGGTCTGGTGTTGTAAACTTTCATTGTATGCAAATGGTCTTGTGAGGAGCATGGGGTTTATTTTCGGCGATGATAGAAATGACGTGCCATGTAACTCACTTTTTTGATCTCTGATAATGATGTACTTTCTCTGGAATCGAGGTCCTTGATTTTTCGTGTACTTATACACGCGTATAGCCTTCGATCGCAGATGTATTTCCGGTCGTCGCTAACACGCGTACTAGATCAATTGAAAAACAAATAAAAAGTAAATATCCTGCAGAATACTCGACGTCGATAAAGCAGGAGGTAGAAAACCTTTAGCGAGTAAATCCTGTTCGTGTAGAATTAATCGCCTCCTCATTTCTCGATCTGATCTCCAAGCAAGCGGGACTGAACGCCGCTGTAAGAGCTAGTTACAGAGAGGCTGACAGTCATCAAAACTGTCAGCATCATTAAGACGTTAAGACTGGCTATGTTTTAAGAACATTCAAATCGAGTTACAGAGACAATCGTTTTTCCCCACACAAGGCGATACAAAACCTTACATTTTGAACATTTTTAAGCAATTTCGAGCATGGGTGACCTGTGCCGGTACCGCAGCTATGTTGTAAATGATCAGCGGTTTCGCTATTGCATCAGTTTGTTGCCCATGTGGAACAGTGATCCAAAGTTTTTTTATCTTTCTCAGTTTATTTCCTTACCAAAATGCCTTTCAGCTGTAGATTTTACAAACATAAGTACCCAGAAATCGACGATGTAGTGATGGTCAATGTTCGAAGCATCGCGGAGATGGGAGCTTATGTCAATTTGCTCGAATACAACAACATCGAAGGGATGATTCTTTTGAGTGAATTGTCGAGGAGGCGAATTCGTTCAATCAACAAGCTTATCAGAGTCGGTAGAAACGAATGTGTGGTAGTCATTCGTGTCGACAAGGACAAAGGTTTGTCGCTTAAATAACTGTCAGAATTATGCCGACGCTCTCGCCATTTTGATTATAGTAAGCACTAATATAGTCAGGTGCGCGTCTTTAAGCTTAGCTTACAAATATTATTGTAAGCTCACGTTAAAAAGAGTTGTAATTGATGTTAAAACTGATGGAGACAACAATAATACACTTTTTAAATGAAAGAGAAACACATTAACCGTTTTAGAGTGGTGACCTTCATTTAAAACTTCAGAATAAGGCGATGGTAAGAAAAAGTATAAGACTTATTGTACTAAGCTTATATTAATTATTATTATTATTATTCATTCGAAATATTTCGCCCTATCTGACTGACTCAAACTCCCTGGCTAATTCCTCATAACCAGGTAGCATTGACCCAATTTGGAAGGCTTAGTTGGATACCAAATTTTCCAGAAAATTGTGTCAATGTTGTGGGACGAACTACATAAAAAGGCATGGCAACTGAGAAGCCTTGGCGGTGAGATCGCATTGTTTTGGTAGAACTAGCAAAAAAAATGTCCTTGGTGGAAGACTGCCTTGTCTCGGCCTCATTTAATAATTGCTAAATATCATTACTAATGACTAGTTTTAGGACCGTACTAAGTTAAGCCCGGTAGGTTAATTACTGGTTTGACCTGAGAACTGATTTGAACTTCAACATTCACAGCAAAGAGGCTGAGCAAATTTTGAAAGAAGCAAATACCGTATTTGCTTGAGTGAGTGCCTGGGCACTTATTTAAAATGACAGCTAAAGGATGGGTGCTTTTTGGAAGGAGGGCTCGTAATCAAGTGGGGCATTTATTAAGTTTTTCTTTCAACGACGTGTAACAATGTTTTCGCCAAATCTTAATGGTCTTATGTTTGTTATAACAGTAGTCATAATCAAGCATACCATAGTCCCATTGAACACTTAACACAGAAATGTGTCAGTATGCATTGTTTATCTCATCATCCTTGAGTCCTTGTCAATAATAATTATGCAGATATTCATATTCCTTTTGTATCCATAATGTTACGTTAAGAAAAGTATGGGGAGGAGATGCGGAGGGGGGTGCTTATTCGAGGGGAGTGTTTGTTTGATATTATAGCCTAGCAGATGAGCACTTATTTAGGAGAGGGTACTTATTAGAGCGTGGGCGCTTATTCGAAGAAATATGGTAATTAAAAATCAACATAATGGTGTTAAGAATTCCAACTGGCAGGAAACGAACTAGTTGGCTTAATTTACAAGCACTGCCAAAGATTTAAACTTGGAACTGCTGAGAAAAAATTTGACTTGTGGTCAGAGTAGCAACTTTTGGCAGCTTGATATTAGAAGATCCTGGAACATTTAAAGTGGAGAAAAATTTTAGGTTATGACTGGAATACTTTGCAGGATACATTGATTTGTCAAAGAGAAGAGTTTCTCCCGAAGAAATCAAGAAATGTGAGGAAAAGTTTACAAAAGCCAAAACAGTATGTGATGCAACTGATGTATTTACTTTTATTATTAACTTGTATTTCATCTATTTTTTTAAATACATGAACAGGGTTCGTACGATTCTTGAAAATCCTTGAAAACCCTTGAATTTTAAGAGTCCTTGTTCAAGTCGTTGAAAGTCCTTAAAATTCTCTTTCGTTCGTTTTGATCCTTGAAAGTCCTTGAATTTTAATGAAAGAACATTTGATAAGAAGTATCGTCACTATTATTGTCTCGTTCGTTATGGAAGGTAATTCTTTGATGAGTACTCACAAACAAATTTTTATAAAAATGGTTGCCAGTAAGAAAAAAGGCCCATGATTATCAGAATATTTTTATAGTTTATTTTGAACCTGTGTTAAAAGTAAGAAATGAGGTCATTGAAATTTAAAAATGGGGTCCTTGAAAGTCCTTGAAAAGTCCTTGAATTTTACAGCAGAAAAAGTGTACAAACCCTGAATTGAATTATACGTACATTGAAACTTTCAATGAAATTCATTTTAAAATGGCTTGAACCATCTTAGTTTGATTCTCCTTTCCTTTTGTCTCCTAGCCCTAATAAAGAATTATTCATGATTATGATTTTATATGGTCAGAACCAAAGGAAAATTGCCGAATAGCTAGCACTAGGCAGAAACCAGATGTATCTTAATCTGAATTCATTTTTAGATTTTAAAAAAACACTGTACAGTAACTTTTTTTGTTCAAATATTTGACAGATAGCATAGGCCATTTTCTAGGTTAAAAAAAACCAAAGTTTCATGACTGAAAATAAGTTTTTTTACATCATGAAAAAAAAATGTTAACCAGAGCCAACTAATCTTCTGGAACAATTTTAGATCTTATCTTCTCTGAGTGCAATATTTATGAGATTCTGCTAATTGGAACAGAGACCAATTTTAAACACTCAAAAACAATCCATTCCTGCAAAACTCTTTACCTTTACCTGTACAACATTAAGTTTGTTTTCTATATCTATGGTCTATAGTTTTTGTCCTTTTGCATTTTGATGATGTTGGTATGCCGTTGCTGAAACACGTGTTAATAATGTTGCCTATTATCATTATGAGAATCGGGTGTAGAAGTTCCATACTGGTGACGCATGACTACCCAGATCTGGGTAGTTCTTCTGATTTGTCGTGCCGCGTGGGAAATTTGATCCAACCAATCAGAAGCACTACCCAGATCTGGGTAGTGATGCATCATCAGTATAGAATTTCTGTGCTCGTTTCTCAGACATCATTTGGCGGGGAAACCAGTGGTAGCGTCACTAAATGTCGGCTATTTTCTCAGGCGAAGGAAGTTCTTTTGGTTCTATTTTCTTTTGTTTCCTATGAAAGTAGCTAGGGTCATACTTACAGTGGTAGGGGGAAATCCTTAGCCCACAGACCTTGGTAACAGCCATGTTGTAATATCTGCATCTCATTTGATTTTTGTCACGTAAAAAAAGACAGTTACATGTTTTGTTCAGGTTTACAGTATTTTGAGACACTGTGCAGAGATTTTGGGATATGAAACAGATAAACAGCTGGAGGAACTTTATGAGAAAAGTGCTTGGTATTTTGATGAAAAGTACAAGTCTCCAGGAAGCTCTTATGAGGTTTTCAAATTAGCCGTTGGGTAAGTATGTTAATTAAATAAGAATTTTGAAAATAACTACATTTACTGTAATTGTATATCATAAATTTACTTGGTCCGTGACCCCAAAATAAAATCTTCTGATTTTTGAGTCAGTAGAAAACATCTTACAATAAACTAGATTGTTTTAGTGTTTACCAAGAGAAGGCACTACCCCTTGATTAAAACTGTTCAAAATTAGTACAAGATGTTTTGCTTACTGTCAAGAAGTTAGCTCATTTATAGACATTACCCAACGTTTAAGTTCCAAGCATAAAACATGAGTTTGAGCGGTAATAGTCATTGCCTTAAATACATGTAGGTGCTTTTATTTTCACAACTTGCAAGAATTCCATTTTAGATACATGTAGGCATTTCCACTACCCCCACCCCCACATGCCACTTTAAACTTGTAAGGTTAACAGACACTCTCTTGAAGTCTGTGAAAGTAGTTTTGTAAAGGTCATAAACTGTAAACTTTAGTTGTAAGCTTCCCTCCCCTTCCTAGCCTCCACGGAGACATTCTTAGGGGTTCGTCACTTGTTCCTGCCCCACTAACGTCTGCTGAAATGAAGAGCCACTTCCGTTCATAGATACGGACCAATCAAAGCCGATTTTCCAACTTTGGGTAAACCCTTGTTTACCCGGAACTAGATAGTGGACTAAAAAGCTTAGGTGTTGTGTTGATGTCTGAAACATTTGGTATTACCTGGGCATTAAAACCGTATCAAACAAAAGCCATGGTCCAATTTTTGCAGAAGAAGACTGATGTGTTTTTAAATCTTTTAAGTGGATGTGTAAGGTCACCTGTTCATTAATTATGTAAAAAGTATCAAAGACCATGTCTATAAGCTGGCAAATCTTGGTATTCTTGTTGCTTCACTGTATCAGTGAAGAAAATGCAAGGGGTGCACAAACAAGGAAATGTTTGAAGTAAAACCTGCAAGGGGTAAAGGCTGCGTTTCTCAGACGGTATGGGATTTTAACTGGTTTTAAATATTATCTAACAAAAAAGTCTGTTTTAGACTTCTTGTACTTATAAAATGTACAGTTGTTTGTTCTTTGCTGTTTCTTTTTCTTTAGTGGGCAAATATTGACTTGGTACAGTTTGTACTGAGGAGTGGAAAACATGTGCAGGCCTCATGCCTTGCAGATAAAATTGCGGTTTTGATATGTCGATAGCACTGAATCAAAAATCGAACCCTGTCCTTACCCAAGATGGAAGCACAAAGAAATCGCTCTGAATTGATAACCTTAATTCTTAAGAGTTGAATGACGAAATGGAATATGATGGATATTTTGATTTGGTTATTTTTGTTATAACGAAAATTAATCCAGAGGTGAACCACACGTGTCGATTTCCCTTCCTTCACAGCATGTGATTGGCTTCATGCGTCACAATTAGTCAATACTGATTGGTTTCTTCAAACAAAAGCAAACAGCCAAACAATGGAAGTGGCTCTTCATTTCAGCAGACATTAGTAGGGCAGGAGTGCGTGGCGAACCCTAAGAATGTCTGCATGGAATGCTATCCCCTCCCCACAGTATTGGCCCATCTAGTGTAAGCAAAAGAAAATACACCTAGGTATAAGCCCCCCTCTAGTTTGTGTTGAAATGAATTCACTTTTTTTGGAAATGTTGAAGCTTACCCCTCACCCCCTACCCCCTCTTCTCCTATTTATAAGTCCTTCTAAAACCCTAATACATGCATGTTGCATAAGTCCAGGGCTTATATAAGTGGAAGTTTATGGTATTACCATAACAAAACAATCAAGAATGTTTCATCTGATTTTCATATTCCTTGAAGGTGTCAGATAAAACTCATCATCTACGCTGTATTCCTCTTCCTATCAACCCATTTATTGACATGCCAGATTGTGAATAAAATCATTTTTTGACTTACATCCGGGGCCAGAACAAAAAGGTCATTGTAACGGTGTTGTTACTAGGTAGGGCTCCACTGCACTAAGGCTGCATTTACGGTAGATGAGATTCTTTTAGATTCATTTTGCCATTAACTCAACATGCCTGCAGATGCATGAATCTGAAATTAAAATTTCCTAATTTGGTTGCATGTCTAGAGGTTTTGAATCCAGAATCTAAAGTAAAATAATACTTTCTTTCCAAATCAGTGTTATCAGATTTGTTGATGGGTGTAAATGTTACAGGTCAAAATTATATTGAGGTTAAAATTTTTAAACCTAAGTTGATTCTAAACTTCCTTTCATGAATTAGGGCTAGGAGACAAAGAAAATAGAGAATCAACCTAGGTTAAAAAATTTTAACCTGAATTTTCGTTTTGACCTGTAACATAAATGCTTGGAAATTGGAATACCCTAAGTGTGATAAATCGGGAAACATTTTATGAATCCAGAAAAATCTCCTTTGACGTAAACATAATGCCTTGAATAAACTGTAGTGAGTTACATGTAAATTATGCTGTGTTTTAAACATAAATATATGACTTTTCTTTGTTCAGCGATCCAACAGTGCTAGATGAGCTGGATCTGGATGAGAAAACTAAATCAACTCTGTTAACTAATATCAAGAGAAGGCTTACTCCTCAAGCTGTCAAGGTCCGTGCTGATGTGGAAGTGTCATGTTATGCTTATGATGGCATTGATGCTGTGAAGAATTCCTTACTTGAGGGACTGAAATGCTCCTCAGAAGATGTTCCTATTAAGGTTTGTTATGGCTAATAATAATTCATAGTATCGTTATGGTATTTTCACAGTATGTCAAATTGGCTTCTGTTGAAGACTATAGTTGTGTCACCTCTTTTTTTCTTGGTTCACGGTTTTCTTTCACACACCTCCACATTTTTCCGATTTTTATTAATAATTTAATTAATCTATTTTCTTGTTATGTGGAAGAAATGAAACTCAGAACTTTAAACTTGAAGCTTCAAATTTATACCTTTTTGTAGTGAAACCAGTAAAGTAGTTATTCTTCACAATGGTGTCATTTTGTGTCAATTTCAAGCTAGTTAGTAGACTTGACTTAAAATCTAGTTTACTGTAGTTTGGAATTTTAGTTTAATTTTTGCAGGCCAAATGAGGGATTTGCCATAAACCCAAAGTAAAAAGTTAAACTCGCAAAACCTAAAGGTTTTATAAGTGTATATTTACACTGTAGGCTAAAACTTTAATGTACCAAATCATTTCCCTTTCCTCTTTCAGATAAATTTGATAGCAGCTCCATTGTATGTAATAACCACGACCACCTTGGATAGAGATGATGGCCTCAAAGGTTTGACTTTAGCTGTGGAAGCCATCAAAACTACCATCAAGAAATATGGTGGAGACTTCAATGAAAAAGTTGCAGTAAGTAATTCCTCCCAATAACATCTTTGACTCAAAACCAACTGGCGCGGAACTAGTGGAAAGGCATAGCTGCTACTGAGTTACGTGTATGAGAGAGTTTGGCTCTTTTTTTGCTATACATTGAAACCAGTTTAAGAATAATTTACTGTAGAGGAATGAGTATCTTTGTGCTCAATATCCCTTCAAGTAATGAATATTAAAAAATGCTGCTTTCTTGTAACTCAAAACACGAAACTTGGGTTTCGAGACTTGAGAATCAAGACTTGATTTTGCATCTAGTGGAAACTCAAATGATTTTGAGACATGAGAATCGTGTTTTCAGGTCGATCGAGTTAATACTGTCAACATACTTTAGGGCGTTGCTGTATTTTGAAACCAGCTGACTTGACTTACTGTTTGTAGATGTCCTGAAGCATACCAATGGCAATCCTGCTTGAGTTTCAAAATGCACAAGTTGCATCAGCTTGACATTTGTGCAATCGGGGAGGCAGTACAACCCAGTATTTAGAGCTCTGAAGGCAAAATATGCAACCACGAGTTTCTTCTCTGGCCATGAGCTAGGCATGACAACCCTAGTAATAGTAAGTTGAGCTACATGGCTAATATGCTAATGCCTCATAAAGAGTCAGCTGCAGGATTGTCAACTGGGGTCTCCTATCATGTTATGTTTGATTTCAGTTATGAGTTTATGATTAAACGAGGCATAATTATTTCTTTTGCCGTAGTAATGAATTTAACATTTTTTTTCCCTGTTTTAGCCTAAAGTGGTGACAGAAAGTGATGAAGTTGAGCTTGCCAAACAAATGGAAAGACTTGAAAGGGAAAATGCTGAAGTAGATGGTGATGATGACAACCCTGATGAAGAGGAAATATCAGAAGAAATTGTTGCATAAATGACACATACTATAAAGTATCCAAGAGATTCCAAAACAGAAGCATTTGACCTTCAAATCAAAAAATACTTGAAAAACTGGGGAAAATGTTTGTGTTCCTTACGTATCACAGAAGTTTCCGCAATGTAGCAAAATTGTTGTAGAACAGTGTGTGACATATTGTATGATGTGGAGTATCATATAACCATCTGCAAGTAGACAGACTTGTATAGTGTACTCGCATTTTAGATCTCTCTGTGCTCAAATTTTCGCCAGTTTATTGCCAAACATACAAAAATTTTGATTGAAATAGTGCTTACTGCAACGTGCTAACTAAAGGTAGAATGTATGTGTCTGGAAAGGCATGCTCATCTGCCTGCGGCTTCTTGTTGCAGTTACACAAAAAAGACTGAAAAGATTCTGTCTATTTGTCAAAAGGAAGTAGAGCTAAACCTTGAATGCTGAATTAAGAACTTAAAGGCATTTAGCATCCAACCAATTTCCTGATCTTCATCTTTTCAAAAAGTGTTAATATTTCAGATTAAAGAAATAATGCTATTAAAGTGCAAAAAAGACAAACTTTATCTGAGCTTCCTTTGCATTTTCACATTGTTTACAGTAGCACATAAAACATAAACTGCTTTTTCCCCCAAACTCGATCGTTTGCAAGCTTGAAAGTTTGATTCAGATGTTACTAATCAATAACATCAATTCAGGCTACCTTCACATGGCACTGAACGAAGTGCGACCGTATAAAACTTTGTTGAGTGCCCTCTTCCCCCAGGTCTTCAGTTGGATGATCAGCTTGCAAGGGAGCTCCCCAGTGAATGAGAAACTGTGCTTCTGCTTTGTGGAGAAGTGAAATATTGAAGTTGGTTTTAATAGCCAAGTAGATAAAAATTATTAAGGCAAAAATGTTCAAAAGGGAAACCTACTCGCAGACAACCTGATTTTCCCCTGAAAAAATTATGCAAAATCCATAACCTTTTTGTGCATTTTGGGCTGCCTTTCCCCTCTTTTCTTTCTGAATAGTGATCAATAGAAAATCATCTCTCTTTTCTTAACTCTTAAAGGGATAGCACAGAAATACTTCGCTAGTACAGATAAGATTATATTTGTACTCGTACATATGAAAGTTCATTACAATTCTCTTTCTTTGGGTAAGTTTATTAATCTCAGGCAAGTTTATCATTTTTTTATGATCATGATACACCTGTGTGAAATTTACATGTAAGCATTTTTTATTCATATTTTCCATAAACACTATTCAAAATATATAGCTGCTGAATACTAGCAGCTTTAATTTTCGTTTTAGTGATTAACTATTTGCACCTTTGAATTCAGTGATATTATTCACTAATCATGTATAACACATCAGGGCTGTCACTAAGATTTCAAGTTGGCAGGGAATCAAACCAGCTAGAGATTTCTTTTGGTTCTATTTTTCTTCTACTTTCCTATGAAAGTAGCCGGGGGCCACGTTCTTAGTAGCCAAGGGAAATCCCTGGCCCCTGCCTCTTAACAACATTCCTGATTCTTTTCTTGTGGAGAAAAAAAATTGGGAAATCACTACCACCAAGGAGATTTAAAAAGAGTTTCTATCAAGGTTCTTCCAGAACTTTTGATCATTTAAAAGCTAAGGTCCCTCAAATCCCTCAAAAGTGTTTCACCTGAACAAAGGAAATTATTAAGAGACACTTGTGTAAAGGATATCCAGGAACTAGGAGGAGTTGACAGGACTGTCACTCTGCATGTATGTAAGGTAATCAAATACAGGATTGGGTTCTGAATTCCATGCTGAATTCCAAATTCCAGGTGCAGGATTCTGGATTCCCTGTCAGTGGAACTTGAAATCCAGATTCCATTGTAAGTGGGTTTCAGGGTTCCTTGAGTTGAATTATGGATTCCAAAGGCCATGTTGCCAGATTCCGCAGGCAAAACTTGTCCAGAAGCAAAATTTTCTGAATTCCGGAATCCAGATTACCTTACATGGAGTGAGAACTCCATCCTTAAAATGATCAAAGGAAAAGTAAAAAGTATACCCTCTGTATTCAACACAGTCAAGCCTCCATAATATGGGCACCAAGAAGACAGAGCCATTAAGCGTTTGTGTTTTAGAGGGGTTCATATTATAGAGGAAGAAGTTGTATAAAGACAGCATAATTGAGAGCAGATGAACTGTTTCCACTGGAACCCTGTCTGTATCATGACAGTATCTGTAAAGAAAGGTTCGTGTAGCATTTACAGGTGCTTTTGAGCTTTACATTTATGTGATAACAAATTTCCAGCAGGGAACCATCCACCAAAGACAAGATATCGCGTGACTTCTCACAACTCCCCAAATGGAGAGCTTGCTGGCAGGCTAATGCTTTAATGACACCCGCTTAATACGGACACCTCACTATTACAGACAGTTGTCCATGCCCCTGGGGGAAAGTAAGCCTCACATTTTCTTTAAATTTCCTGTGTGGCATGAATTCTTTTGCGGGAGTTTATTTTTGCAGATGGGCAATTTTTTGTGATTTGTGGGAACTAATTTTGCGATTAGGACAGATAATTTGTTTTTTCTTGCTGGGAATTAACTTTTATGATTTTCAGAAAGTACCCAGTGCCCTGCATTGATGATATTTTTGTTTTTGTTAAGTACGTGCAATAGGATTAAGAAATACATATTTTCAAACAATACTACGGTGTGCGTACCCTATGCAAAGCCAGTATTTCATTGTATACCGTTTTGTTTCTGAACAAAAGAGAAAAGTTGTAATTGAACAGACACAATTTCTTAGTACAGTAATTTTGTGTAATGAATTTAAGTTAGAGAATATTTACTCTGGGGTACATTTTTGCAGATCGCTTGAAAAATTGCAAAAATTAGAACCCGCAAAAATTTTGTGCCACATGGTAACCCACTTAATACAGACAACCCATTAATATGGACACTGTCTTTCTATGGCCTCTTCGGTGTTCGTTTTAAGGGTACGTTTTGTAGTTCAAAACAAAAATTTAGGTTAAATTAATTTCACCCTAGTTTCATTATTAATAATGCATTCCACAATGTTTTGAAGCTTCACAGGGACTTCTATATACCACACACAACAACTCTTTATCAGCATCTGACTCAGCTGTTGATTAGGTTTGTCCTTCATTAAAACTTGAAAAGTCAGTATCTAAAAGATCATCATCTACAAGAGTTCTCTCAATTGCAGACTCCTCAGTGAGTAAGTTCTGCGAAGGTATCAAACTGTTTCCATCTGTTTTCTCTGTTATAGTGTCAAATTCCTGATCCATGTTAGCTTCAGAACTCCTAGTTTGGTCTTTTTTTGACGTTGATGATGCTTCTTCTCTGCTTTCCTGTTTGCTATCTTTTGGTTTCTTTTTCCCACGACGAAGACCTAAAATCTGCCAGAACAAGAAGCCCAAAGTAAGCGTGTAAATAAGCATCTTCTAGAAACAAAAGAAAACCCAGGCAAAAGAAATACCTATAATGACAATCAACTCTAAGACAGACACTATAGTTACACGTTGCCTTAGCTCAAAATATGCAGAGCATGGGCACTGTCGCATAGCCTTTGAAATATATGGGTGTGTATCCAATCTTGTTCCCAGAGGCTACAATCCTTTTGGTACAGCACCAAGGATCACTAACCTCTGGAAGAATCTGAAAAAAACCATCTCTGATTGGCCAATAAACATGTTCATCATATGCAAATAACCTTTCCAAATCGAAAAAACTGCAAGCAAGTTGATTTGATTTTGACAGGTCATTTGTGTACACAACACTCCTCTAAAAGTTTTTGTTTCCATATAAAGTCATGAAACCATGCTACACTGACATTTAGTTCAAAAATTTCCTTTCTTGGTTTTGAGGGATGTGATTGGTGTGTCAGGAAAAAAGGATTGTTTCTGTAACCTACGAATGAAGGGATTTAAATATACATGTAAATCACCTAACCTCTCTATAAGTTTTTGTTTCTTTCATTTGGTAAGTTGATTAACCCGATTTTCAATTAATTGTTACAGAAACAATCATTTTCCTCATTATACAAATTCTTATACTTTTTGAAAGTTATACAACAATGCTGATGTTCATATTTTGAGCTTGGGCTACCTGTGCTATAGTTAATCTTGTCCTATGGACTCTGTAGAGTCCATACCAAGGTTGTGTCTGTCTTACAGAAGTCGTCCTTAGGGGACAGTTAATGATACATGAAATTTTCCACAATTTTTTACTTTTTCTGTATTTCTTTCCTTTTTCTTCCTCAAAATACAATAAATTAAAGTGTCATGAAGACTAAAAATTGGAAATAAATGTGGTTTTTTATGTGCAAAAAGCTGTGAAAAAAACCATGTCATGGGTTTTATTTTGAATTAATTGTACCCTGGTCCCAGGTTTTCTTTAAATCTGTCTTTTTCTCCTCAAATGAACCACATAGTGATAGCAGCAAGATGCAAAGTGGGGAAAGGAGAAGCAAAGAATTCTTCTCTCAACAATTTGTACCCCGGGAAAAACCTCTGGAACCAGGGTATAACATATAAAGATGTCGGGGACAAACTAGGCTATGGGCCTCAACTTTCTTTATAAATCAACATATACTCAAAGGAATAGGTTAAGACCTTAGAAAAATCCCTGTGATATTTCACCAACACTTTTAAGTTATACAGGATCTAGAGAGAGAATTATTCAGATTATGATAAAATGCAAAGGCCTAGACAACCTTGACATAATTAGCAGGAACAATGCCTTCAGTAGCGCCATCAACTGTACCAAGAAGCCATCCTCTGATACGCGGCTGTTTGCCCTTGGGAGCAAGTCGCAGAATGCTGCCAGTACGGAAAGATAATTCATCTTCCCCTTCACCATCAAAGTCATACTCTGCTCTTGCAATCACATGATCTCCTTCCCCTGCAGAATGGTAACAACAGGTAAAATTAATTTTGACGATCACGAATTTAAAAATATTAACTGAGTAAGAAGTAAAGAATTATGGATTGAGCATAGCAGCCTCAGTCCAAGATCTGCATATCTGCGAAAGCCAAATACAACAGGTTTTTATTATCCTTCTTAACCATCTTACTTCCTCATGGAGTTCTTCAAAGCATTTTCCTGTTTCTCAGCACGGTTTCATGAATTTATATACACAGAATTTGTTCTGCAGATATTCCTCAAAAAGTATATGACATTTTATCAAGAACTCTTTCACCATTTACTTGAGTTCATTTATGCTACATTTTACCTCTTCTTTCCTTCTTACCCCACCCTACCCATGCCCAAATTATGTTGAACAAAGACATAAGTGCTTGTGTGCAAAACTGTTCTGTTATATCCCATTGAATCAGTTGGGGGGGCGGGGGGCATCTTTTTTAACATAATTGAAAGAAACTACATTGAGTTGTACATCCTTCCAAACTACTTTCGTCTAGGATTGTAGGCTGTGCCTCAGCTACCTGCATGGACACTTTGTTCGCAATTGTATAATTGGGGCAACATACCATGGTATCCAGCCGTATTTGAAGTGTACCTAACATTCATGATGTCTCAATATTGCAATGATCTTTCACGAAGATTTTGTTATTAAAACCATAAAAGGCTTATAATTACCTGTTTTCCAGTCTTTTGTGTTAGATTCATCATTCATGAGTGACTGTAAAAGCTTCCATATGATGAGAGGAGTACCAAGAACAACCCCAAAAAATAACAAAATGGGCCATGATAATGCCTTTTTAGAATCACTGCCACCTTGACCACTGGATGGAGCAACTGCTGTTTTTGCTTTATCCCACAACTCTTCTTCCAATCCATGGTTTTGCGTAAAACCTAATAAGGCACGGATCTTTCTAAAGATGTAACGAATGGCTTTAAATAAGGTAAACGCTCCAAGTACACTAACCAAATGAGTGCGGAGTCTACTAAAATGGTCTGCCATGCTCAAAACAGCAAGAAATGTATTATGCATGGCAAAGTGAGTTGATTCTAGCATCATGGCTACTGAGCCAAAAGCCTGAACTATTGACTCTATGGACTGAAATGCTGCCCTGCTGCTCTCCTCTGCACGTCCCACAAATGAGCGTGAGCCTGATTGGCTCAATGGGCTTCCAAATCGATTAATACCCATTCCATAGCTGCCATAACTACCATAACCTCCATAGCCTCCTCCATACATTCCATAGCCTGGAGAGGAAAGGCAATAAAACAAAGTTTATTCAATTTTTTTAATTTTTAATTATTATTATTCTACATTGTAGATGGTTCTCAAAGTTAAACAGCTGCTCAAAGAAATAGATAATGTATGGATTATCTTTTCTTATTACAGTACTGCACTATTTATGAGGTATAATAATATAAATTAATGTTTATTAGTTATGTTACCGTGAGTCCCTGGCTCCAGAGGTCCATTCTCAAAATACCTAATATGAAATAAACTGTGCTTTCGGTTTGATAAGGCTCCCAAGTCGGACCTCTGGTCGCACATGCAAGCAACCTCATTTCCATGCAAGAAATCAGTTCAGAATCTGAACTGGGTCACTGATTGGTTACTCCCACTTCGGCAGGGAATTAACGCTGTAACAGTGAACTTGATTGGCTGTGTTGAAAATCTTCACTGCATGAGATTAAAAACCAGTTACAATTATTGCGATGTTCATAACAAACAATATAATCTCGGGTTGTTATTCAGAGACCCCGGCTTTCACGTTTTCTTTTGGACGTGTGGCTAAACAATCTCTGGCTAAACTTCGAAATAATTTAACAGAATATCCGACAACTGAATCAACGTTCCTCGTGGAAGAAGCTTTGTTTGAATTTTTCCTACCAAAGGACATCGTTTGAATGAATGTGATGATTTCCTGGATTTCCGGCTATGCTTTGTATTGCTAGGCTCAGTTCTGCATTTCCACGGATAGTACCCTGGGTGCAAAAGGTTTTTCTTTTTTCCTAATTCCTGATAGTTCGTGGTGCATTTTATTGGCTAAAAAATGTGGCAGAATGATGTTTTATTTGGCATGGCCTTTTTGCCTGGCAATATTTAGTTTGACCTGGAACAGTAATACAAGAGTCACGGACCAGAAATTCTTTTTATCCTGTTGACTTCTAAAAACATACAGAGTGGGTACTTCTCAGCTGACTCCTGTCCTATTTATATACTTAAAACGTGAAGTGTATTTTTTTGGAAAACAATTTGTGACAATTTTTAATAGCACTTTCCTTTCTAAGTAAGCTTTCGTGCAATTCTTTTTTCATGCATTGCAGATCAGACGCAGAGTCACGTAAGATCAAATCTCAGCTGTCAGCGTCAATGAAAACAAACATGCACATCAGCTCCAAACCGGTTTGATGAGATACATGATCCCAAAAATGGCAAGGAAATGAGACTCATAGCTCCTGTGACCTGGGGTTATTTTTTTTTCTTGGCACTTTGCGCCTCATTGACGTGGATTCGCCGTGAACCATCAGTATTGATAAAAAAAATATATCCTCTGGAACCCAGGGTACTGTGAGATGCAATCATCTTACATTTACACCCTAATGAAAATGCAAAGAAAGTTGCTTTGCTGCTGGCAGATGCTAGCCTTAGAGTCTCTTTTATTAACTAAGCCAAAAAAATTTTTCATCAAGCAGCATTAATAATCAGTTAATCATTATTTATTAGTTAATAACAGCATTAGTTTTGTAATTACTTGCTTTACTAATTCATTGTAATAATGATAATCACCATAATAATAAACTTCCTCAGATCAGCTTAAAAAACAGCTTTTGATCCAAATGAATTGTTTAAGAATTTAAATAATTTGTCCATAATTTGCATACATAAAAATGTTCCCATCTCCATGATATTTGGAACCAGCTTATAATAATTTCATAAATAGCAGTTGTCATCCATTGACCGGTATTTTTGCTAATAATTCTTACTATGATTTTAGATAGTAGTTTTGGCTATTTCAACTATGTGTAACTCGATTTTGTCAAGACAAATTCCCTTGAATGTTTCATCTTTTTCAATCAACTGTAGAAATGCAGGGTTGTCACTAAGGGCCGGGGGCCGGGGATTTCCCCCGGCTACTCAGAGCGTGGCCCCCGGCTACTTTCGTCATTAAATTAAACCAAAAGAGCACCCCTTTGAAACACACAAAGACTATCCATCAAACTAAATGAAAGTTTCATCTGCAGCAGGTTCAAGTAATTTTGAAATACTCGCGTGCAAAAACTAAGAAATGTCGGAAAAAGACATCTGCCTTAGATTTGGTACTAGTACACACGCGCGAAAACTCTCCGTTCGCAAAATGTCAGTAGGGAGTTTTAGCAGCGACGACGGCGACGGCAACGAGAAAGTCAAAAGAGCAATAGGTTTATTGAGCAAAACAACTAGTTTGCACGTGCATCACGCTTTTTTGTACATTTCTTTGCCGTTATGGCACGACTACGACGTGAAAATGCCTAGGGTGCGTTCGATTGGGAAATTTCACGTTTTATGGAGGTCGTAAACAATCGAAGACTAACTTTTCTTTCTCTTTCTAAACTTGAGTGCGGTCCCAAAGAAATCAACTCCAGGGAAATTGGCCTACATTAGCTATTTTCAGCGAACTGAAATAAACGAGACAAAGTTGGAAAAACTCCAATTCATTTTAAAAGCGACGTTTTCGCTGCCGTCACCTTTGTCGATGCTAAAAATCCCTAGTTTCAACCGTTGTGTCGGCTTTGTGTTGAACATGTCGAAGAAGTGGCAAAGGAATCTGCACTCTTTGTTCATGATGAAAGACCTGAGCAGATCTCTGTTGACATCACAGAAGAAGTTGAGGCTTCATCCGAGCGTTAAATCTCCCTGATGCTGATGTTGATGATAATGAGGATTACGATGAAGGCTTTGAAGATGAACACTATGACTGATTGCTATGTTTAATAAATTGACGTTTAAGTGACCAGGTCTATATTTAGCTTTGTGAGGTATCGAGTATATAAAATAAGGCACGGTCAACGGCAAATGTTAGATCATTGTCCGCAGGTCATGATCATATCCTCTCAGTTCTACTATTTTTTTAATTCCAAGAAGTTATATTTAAAAGGGAAGTTAAGCATTAGCATTACTTTTGCATTCTTCTCCCTGAGTCTCGTATTGACATCTCAGCGTCGTTTATAAAGTATTAGCCCTCTCTTTTAAATGCTTTTCCGTATGTCAGTTTCTTCGTATGTTAAGTGATGTTTCTTTCCTAAATTCGAGACCACTAATGTTACCAGTTGTGCAGTTTAGTTTTACCATATTTTATCCCGCGATTTTTCGTACGTTACGCTTGTTTTAGCGTTATCATACTTTTATTTTTCAACAAACCATTGTAACCTTGTGTTTATGATGCTTTTTCGTACATTCATCGTCCGCTTGTAGTCTTTCCGCTTCTCCGTGAGTTAATTCATTTGTAATATTAGTTTTACTTTTGTTTTCTCTAACTTGTTTCGTTCTTACGTATAACTAAATGAGGATTTACAATTGATTTTAAAACGCATGTTAATTCATTTGCACCATATAAGAATCGATTGTCCTTTCCACATTTTTAACATTTGTAACGTATCGTTGTGATTTAACACTTCACTGGCCAGCATGCGCCTTTTCTGCGTGAAGATAAGACTGCGCGGATAACGTGACCGGTGCCTACCTGTCATCTATTTCAGACCCGGTGCTTACATGTATACTCCCATTTGGCGGCCACTAAAAAAAATCTCCAACGAGCCTTTACGTAAAGTAAAAACTTATTATTTTAGGGTCTCCGAATGATGTTGTTTTCTTTAATAAAGACGTGATCATCATAAAACCGCTAATGATAGCTGTACTCTTGATGAAGATTGCCTTTTTGGGGCGGTAATGCGTTTTAGAAAACGGTAGAAGTTGCGCTGCAAAAACTTCTTGTGGGGGGGTCTCAAGGACTGCTTGCGACTTCTCCGGCTACTAACAACAAATACCCGGCAACTTGAAATCTTAGTGACAACCCTGAGAAATGAGACTTTGTTTGTGGCCAAAAAAGGATTACAAGCAAACAAAAGCTGGGAATCTGAAGCAGTGTGGTTAGCAGTGGTATTGAGACTGTTTATTGCATTGTAATGGCTAATTGCTATGAAGAAAGCAGCAATTTTTCTCCAGTAGTCACATTCAAGTTTGAAATTGAAAAAAATCACAAAAGAAATTGGATTAAAACATGTCTATTTACAGGCTAGTTCACTTGATAGGCTGTTTTGTGCTGAACATTTTGCTACATAGGTTATGGGGGATAGGAATTGAAACACAGAAGTTGAAGTCAAAATACGAGCATATTTATCCCACAAATAAAATTCCTGTCAGGAACTTTGCCGGTTAAAGGGTAAAATAACTTTCAATTTACTTGGTTAACAAGAGCTGGTTACGATGAACTACCAACAATACTAGTTATACTCACCCCCAAATCCACCACCATACATCCCGCTATAGCCTCCATACATACCACTTCCATAACCTGAAATTCCAAATTTTTATTTAACATAAGTTACTTTTCTAAAAATAAAATGTCAATAATATTGTTTCCAAAAAATACATTCATTTTAATACTGTCATACCCCATTATTAGTAAGTTTACGCAACAGGATAGCAGAAAGAAGAGGATGGCAAAACAAGGTGAAGTTTGGCAAAAAAGTTGTTACAAACAAAATCATTGTCCACTTGTCACAAAAGGTTTGCCTTCTTCCTTCCCCTCCCGCCCTGTTGCATAAGTTCACTGATATGCACACTGAGGGGGCCATAGAAAGTGTCCAAATTAGCGTATTAAGTGGGTTGAATTAAGAGAAAATGTAATAGCTTTCTTTTCCCAAGGACCAACTAAACTGTCTGTAATAATGAGGTGTCCATATTAAGCGGGTGTTCGAAAAAAGCGGTGTTTGACTGATTATACTACTACAGGAGAAATTTCTGCAATTTGACTGGCTTAGAGCAGCGGTATTTCAGCTTAATTTGAAATAGCTACATGTGAAAATTACAAAACCTTTTGCGGGTAGTGGTATAAACAAATAATAGCATGATTTGTATGTGATATTTGGCATCAGTACCACTCGTGATATTTCAAAATCGTCTCAAATTAAATTACGTATAACAATTTTGAAATATCAATCGTGGTATTTATGCCAAATATTTCTCCTAGACTGACATTCCAACTTCTCCAGCAGTCGTGGAGGAAATACCATGATGTCAGCATTCACATGAACGCGTACCACCTTATATTTCTGATTATGGTTTAATATGATTTTTTTAAAAAAAGATACTTGGTATTTTGACAATATTTTTCATTGGCCACTGTATATTAGGAGTTAAAGTGTGCTTCTCAAAGATTAAGACAGTGATGTCAAAGTACAACTATTGTGCAACTATTGTAATGGAAACTTCTTGATATTATTGTTTACATTGAAGTGAAAGATATTTACCGTATCTTGACCCTCCATACATTAATCTCCCATTTGATCTCTGTGTCTGAGGTCTTGGTGGCAACGGTGGAGGTTTTCTTGACTCCGAAGTTGAACTCGTCATTTTCCCCAAGTCACGATCGCGAAGTGCATTCAATCTAGGGGGTCCAGCTGCTAATGGAAGGCGAGATGGAGAATCAAACGGCACTACACTAGACCTTGTGTTTACCACTGCTCCTTCCCATGGTTTCCGAGGAGCAGACATTCCCTAATCGCTGACTTATTCACCGAATCCAAAAATTGTAATCATCTCCGGCCCGTTTCCAAAATCCAAAATGGCTTCCATCTAATCTCTAAACTAGTGCCCAGTCTCTTACCGGCATCACATCACACTTTACGAAAAAGCAAGCACATTCTTCGCAAGCGCCCACGACATGACTAGCCCAGTTCCCTAGTGTTTTGGATGTAAACACACCGGAATAGAAAATTCGTTCTTTCAGTCTTGCAAGGCACTATTAAGGCGACAACTACTATGATATCCTTCAGATATTTTTTCTTGAGTGCACTTTTCGGGGGTGTCATCGGTGGTGTTTTGGGTGCCATGTTCACGCTCAATATTTTCGTGGAGCAAGGACAAGAGCAGGCTGAGGAAGATGAAGAAGAAGCGGCTCGTCACCCAGCTGAAATGAGGCTGCGGCCAGAGGCGATCCTTCCCAGGAGAGAGCCTGTCGAACACGATTACATACATGAAATTTGAATCCTTTTTAAAATAGGTGAGTGTTGGTTTCTTTTCTTCTTCTTATACTTTTTTTTATTTCTAAATTACTCATACACGGCCCCACTATTATATTCGCTGGTAGAGAATTTTCTACAGTGATATTAAGAAATCAGTTCACCGCAGAAATTTTGTCTAAAAGTATAGGTGCACAGTATAACTTTATTAAATCACGGTAACAGCGTAGCTGTAAATCCTTTCTATTCATTTTGTCAAAATTCGGTATTCTTCAAAACGCTCGCGTGGGACGTGTGACCTCGCGCGTGAGCGGGTTAAACGTGACCAATAAAAACAGGAATTTAAATTAAAAGCGGGAAATTCCTAGCCAGTCGAGGCCCAGCCTTCAGATAGTAAAGACGTCGCTACAACAACAACAGGCATCCCCTGCCCTAGACTTTCTAAAAGTCCTTTGAATTTTTTTTCCTGGTTGGTTATTCCTTGACCTCGCGACTCCCTGGCTCGCTGCGCGACCTCGTTGAAGCTCGCTTTTTCTCGTTCGCTTCGCTCGCTAAGAACTTATAAGAGACCGACTTGTGGCAGGTCTACTCTTACCCTAACCCTAACCCTAAGCCAAATCGCTACGGTAATATAACAAGGGGATGCCTACGGCTAGGGTTTTGGGAATGGGGATGTCCGTGTCACTGTAACAGCGACGGGAAAAGGACAGAAAATCTCTCTCCTCAGCCCCCGCGCGTTTTTACAACACCGCAGCAGGTCAGGGAATCCCCGATCCCGACAGAGGTGCTCACTGGGCCCGTGACACTGTTTGCAGTTCGTGTGTTCTGTTTTTGGTCAGCTTGGTGATTGATCTTTGTTGTCTTACAGCAGTAGAAGAACGCTGGTAGACATGCTGGTAGAAGTTTGCCGCTGTAGACTGAATTTTTGCCGTTATTGTGATGCCTGACGATGACATTACGATCTGATTTACGCATGGCATGAATTGAAGACTGCGTCTCTTGTAGTTATCCCTAAAACAGAACACTTTTTTTATGTTTGTAAAATTATAATAACTTAGTTAAAACATTTCTCAGTTGTAGCGTTCAACTTTTAAATTAACGCCGCCTTAGAATAAGGGCCGCATTTGAAACGTGAAATTTTTTTTATCGCCAAGGCGCTTCGCGAGTCAATACGGTATTGCTTCCCAGTCGCCTTCCCCATTGACTGCAGATCACTTGGTTATCCATAATGAAATGGTACAAAAGCATTTTTGAGGTTCCTTTCCGAGAAAGCTAGCTGTCATATTTGAATACTTTTTATTAGCTACACCGATTTTTTAAGACTACAGGGCAAATTCAGTTGAGTTGTTTTAACTGGGGGAAACCTATTTTAAACTCTCCCTGAGCTACACCACACTCCCTGCTGTTTGTTGACAATTTTAACACCGCTAGTCTGCACGAATGGCAGCAAGGAAAAGTGAGGCTGCAGTACTCCACAAACCCACCGATCTAATTCGGTTTAAGTGGAAGGCTTAACCAGGTGTACACGATTATGACAAAAACCAAGAACACCGGATTTCGAGACAAACAACTTGCACAAGTAACCCTATGTATTATGCAAGGTGAACAAAGATGAGCAACTGACCAACACTTTAGTAAAACTTTGTTTAATGACACCGAAACGCTAACTATTTCATACTGAGATGTAAACTGTACAATGATAAAAAAAATATGTAAAGTAACTTTAAAAATACCAATAAAAAGGATTTTTGGTGCTAAGAAAAACAGTCTAACTTATTTATGCAATGTTGACAACAGCATGGAAATATATACAACCTAAATGTAAGCATGTGATTCTGTTCAAATTTCTGGTAAGTTTTTTTTTTCAAAGAATTCTCTCTCCATTTTTTATGGTATAAATGAAATAGGTTTAGAAATTTTCATCTGTTTTGAATACATGTTCTGATGTAGTAGATGACTTTCTGCTCATTACTCCTGACTTCTGATATTCTGCTACTCTCTTCTCAAAGAAATTTGTTTTTCCTTCCAAGGAAATGTTCTCCATGAAATCAAATGGATTCTGAACATTGAAGACCTGTCAAAATAAAAAGAAAAATATTTGTAACTCTATTAATTTCCCGTAATATGTCCCTGCCCTTGTAAAAATTAATCTGTTCATACTGAAGATAAATTTTAACTAGGGTGTACTTGCACGCAGCTTGATAAATAATCACAGTAGCAGAGTTCAGATAAGGTAAAGATTTTGACTAAAGCTATTGATGGGGCATTTAAACACCTGGCTTTGGTTCGATTAAACTATAAGAGTAGCGTCAAATCCACGATTAATTTTCTATTCCTCGGATAACTAATGGTGGGTTAAAAAGGAGTTCCTGAAAGCGAAATAAACCCACGATTAACTAATCCAAGATTAGTGTGAAAATAAACCGGTTTAACTAGTTTTTGGGATGATTGCTTTTAAAAAGATAGCGCGAAAAATGTTTAGGCATGGGTGAAGTAAAGGAAAATGGCGAAAAGTGAAGTGGTCTAGATCAATTTCGGTATCAATTTCTTGCTGTCGGAACTTTTTTCACGTATTTGTGGCAACGGTAAGTCCGCCATTTTGTTTGTTTCTATAAACGTTTTCCCCCGATTAGTGACTTAATCGACCTCGCTAGGTGGGTTAAAATTAACTCTTAGCTTCTTCCTAGATTAAGGTTGATCATACTTTCAGGAACATAATCTAATCGGGGGACAAAATGTGTTTCGCGATTAGCGAGATTTAATCCTCGATTAGCGCTAGAACAATTAATGCTTATATACATGTAGGGAAGGAAGTTTGCACTTTGATTTGACCAAGGCATTAACTCCCTAAAGCGTTTGGTCACTTTTACTTAGACAAAACACGTTTAAAATATTTTGACAAGGTAAGTAATCAGGCAAACATTAGCTATTTTTACCTTGGAGCATTTAAGAGCAACCAGGAGTCTGTCAGCCACAAATTCAATATACTGCTTCATAAGGTTGTGGTTCATTCCAATGAGTTTTACAGGGAGGGCCTCTGTGAGAAACTCTTGTTCAATGACAACCGCATCCTTGATGATTTCTTTGATCCTTTCTTCAGATGGCTTGTTTTTTAGATATGTGAACATCAAGCAGGCAAAGTCACAATGAAGACCCTGTGTTATAGATCACAATCATATATTTTAGCCACATTTTCAGAAGTATTAGTTCATAATTGCAAAAAAACGTCATAATGTGTTGGAAATCCGAAGTATATTAGCCAATATAATAAGACAATACAGTAAACCCCTGTGTATAAGAACCTAGATTTTTACAATTTATCCTAAATAGGTTCCTATAGAAATGGTATTAATTAGTGGGATTTTAGGCTACTTGGGTTCTTAATTTGATAGGGGGACTAGCCATCAGCACAGCTTCTACTACAGGGCATATGTCATATGGAATATCAAGCCCTAGGATTTCATGGTAACGAAAGTTTCAGGTACCGTGGCATTGAAATAAGAGAACCAAAAAATAGTTCCCAAGTGCCATTTTCAGTCTTAGGGATCCATTTACAGAATTTCTTCTCTGACACAGAACTACAAAGATACTTAACTAGTAGGGCAATTCTTTAGTTATGACTCAAATATGCAACTGAAATGCTTAGCATCTATGAGTTCCATCTTAAATCATTCCCAAAAAGCATTATACATTACTGGTTTATGACTTCCAGCATCAAGAAAAAAAAATTTGAGTAAGAAAAATTTAAGACATTTAAGGGATGGGTTCCCATGAATTTTCACGGAACCAAAAAATTGTTATGAATTCTGGGCACGGAACCGAAAAATTTTTTTCCATGGGAATTGAAATTCTAGGGCTCGGAATATATTGCTGTATTAAATAATCTAGAATACAATTTAGAAGATGACCATACAGCAAATTTATCTTTCCATTAAAGTACTAGCACTTTTATGCTACAGGGTCCATAAAATACTCGTGTTACATTTTTGGTTCTTTGAATCTTACTGACTGTAACCTAGACCAAATTTTTTTTTCTGTATTTTCATCATTGCCGTCATTTTTGTAAAATAAGAACTTATTGAAGATTTTAGGCTAAATAGATTCTTATACACAGGTTTTTACTGTACTATATGTCACCAAAGTAAGAAACAATGCCAATGTTTAAAACTTTTTAGGGTGGCTTACAGTCCCTGATATTTAAAGTTTTACATATTCTAATCTTGTGTCATTTGGACCATTGAAAATCCTTGTCAATCTTTTCAAAATTAACACTAGAGGATGCACTTTCATCAAAATCGCACGCATTACTACAGACCTCATCACGGCTAATGAGCTCATTTGAGAAAGTAAGTCCTGGCATCTTTCCTCGCTTTTTCAGCCAGAAAATGGCAGCAAATGAACCAGTGAAAAAAATTCCTTCTACAGCAGCAAAGGCAACTATTCTCTCACCATAAGATGCCTAGAAAAATAAAAAAATGATCAGTCATGTTTTAGACTTGCTGAAATAAAGTTCTTAATGTTTGTATCTAGAATTGCCAGGCTCAATACTGCAAAACATATGCATGAAAATAATAATAATAATAACAATAATAAAATCTTAAGTTACACATTTTTATGGAAGGCTGGTTTCTTTAAGGAAAATTGTTGGAAAACTAAGGAATTTAAACCTTCAGAGTACAAGGTTAGGTGCAATTGATACCTCTACATTTTGTGTAAAAGCTTAGATCTCTTTTTTGCTTGGAAAGGTCACCAGTCACTGCTAGAGTACAGCTCTAATATGGCACCTTTAAGTCTAAACAGAATTTCACTTGACTTACTCTCTGTGGGTTTATCCAGTTTAGGGCCCATTGAGCTTTCTTTGTGACACACGGCATTGTTTCAATAGCATTGAAAAGCCTTTGCCTTAGAAGATAAAAATAGAAACAAAAACATTTTATTTGAAGTAATACTTTATCTAGTGTCATACTCTGAAAGAAATGCAGTCAAAGTTTTCCTGTATTAGCAAATGCACAAACTCTTTGGAATGTTAAATGATCTGGAAAAAAAAGGTAGAACTTACTTTTCCACTGAGTCTTCAATGTAGGTTTCAATCAGCAAACTGTACATCTCTGAATGAATATTCTAAAAAAAAGAAAAGTTAAAAATATAAAAACTGCAATCTACAGTTGTATCTAGCTATCCTGTCTTAGCTCTAAAACTTGTGTTAAATTATATGGACTGCCCAAGAGTTAGCTGACCCACATCATCAAGTCCTTGACTCTTTCTCTCTCAAAACACAGAGTTATCACTATAGCTTATTACAACAGGAGAAAATAATCTTACCTCAATTGCAATTTGGAAACCATAGAAGCATCTGGCCTCTGGAACCTGGACTTCTTGACTAAAGCATTCTACCAGGTTTTCGTTCACAATGCCATCACTAGCAGCAAAGAAGGCCAGGACATGTGAAATGAAGTACCTTTCATTATCCTATAAACAAAACCAAACAATTCAGTGAGCCAGGAGGACAGAGAATGAGCAATTATTGGGTCAGGAATATTCTGCAAATATTATTTGTCATCCATCGAGTTGTATTTTGCTTTTCTTGCCAAGTTTTTGGGCTAAAGCTTGGCTACTCTTTTCTTAGAAAAGCATGACATAAAAGTTTCCACCAAATTCTCAAGCTCCACCAAAAAGCTTAAGCTAAGGCAATTTGTCCCTAGGGCATCTTGATTACTGTCCCTTTTTCTGACAATAGCCTATGCTTTGACATTGTATTACCATATATATTTTGTCAAGACAAATTCCCTTGAATGTTTCATCTTTTTCAATCAACTGTAGAAATGAGACTTTCTTTGTGGCCAAAAATGGTTTACAAGCAAGCAAAAGCTGGGAATCTGAAGCAGTATGGTTAGCAGTGGTATTGAGACTGTTTGTTGCATTGTAATGGCTAGTTGCTATGAAGAAAGCAGCAATTTTTCTGCAGTAGTCACATTCAAGTTTGAAATTAAAAAAAATCACAAAAGAAATTGGATTAAAACATGTCTATTTACAGGCTAGTTCACTTAATGGGCTGTTTTGTGCTGAACATTTTGCTACATAGGTTATGGGGGTTAGGAATAAAATTGAAACACAGAAGTTGAAGTCAAAATACGAGCATATTTATCCCAGAAATACAATTCCTGTCAGGAACTTTGCCGGTTAAAGGGTAAAATGTCTTTCAATTTATTTGATTAACAGTAGCTGGTTCTGAAGAACTAGCACCAATACTAGTTATACTCACCCCCAAATCCACCACCATACATCCTGCTATACCCTCCATACATACCACTTCCATAACCTGAAATTCCAAATTTTTATTTAACATAAGTTAATTTTCTAAACATAAAATGTTAATAATAATTGTTTTCAAAAAATACATTCATTTTACTACTGTCATACCCCATTTTTGACTGAAAAAACTGTTTCTCTTAGACTGACATTACAACTTCTGCAGCAGTCGTGGAGGAAATACCATGATGTCACCAATCACATGAACGTGTAGCACCTTATATTTCTGATTATGGTTTATGTTTTCTTTTGGGAAAAAGATCCTTGGTATTTTGACAACATTCTTCATTGGCCACTATATATTAGGAGTTAAAGAGTGCTTCTCAAAGATTAAGTGACGTCAAAGTACAATAGGGATCTTAAGATCCGACGACGGCGACGGCAGCGGGAACGCCACAAAAGCAATAGGTTTAATTAGCAAAACCACAATTTTGCACGTGCATCACGCTTTTTTGTACATTTCTTTGCCGTCACTGCACGACTACGACGTGAAAATGCCTAATTTCACGTTGACAGAGGAAGTACACAAGAGACGACAAAATTTCCTCTCTCTTTCTGAACTTGAATATGGTTTGGGGATTTACCTTTAGGACGGTTAATCTACATGTGAAAAAGTTAGTGACTTGGAGTAATCGCGATGAAGATTGAAAGAACGCGAATTCACTTTTCAGCGACGTTTTCTCTGCCGTCGCCGTCCTGGGATCTTAAGGTCCCTATTAATTGTACTTTGACGTCACCAACTATTGTAATGGAAACTTCTTGATATTATTGTTTGCATTGAAGTGGAAGATATTTACCGTATCTTAACCCTCCATACCTTAATCCCCCATTAGATCTCTATGTTTGAGGTCTTGGTGGCAACGGTGGAGGTTTTCTTGACTCCGAAGTTGAACTCGCCATTTTGCCGAAGTCACGATCGCGAAGTGCATTCAATCTAGGGGGTCCAACTCCTAATGGAAGACGAGATGGAGAATCAAACGGCACTACACTAGACCTTGTGTTTACTACTGCTCCTTCCCATGGTTTCCGAGGAGCAGACATTCCCTAATCGCTGACTTATTCACCGAATCCAAAAATTGTAATCATCTCCAGCCCGTTTCCAAAATGGCTACCATCTAAGCTTCCACCTAATCTCTAAACTAGTGCCCATTCTCTTGCTGGCATAAAGAAACAGCAAGAAGCTTTCTGTCTTAGGTAATGACGTCACCTAGAAATGTAAACAGCGGGATCGGATGGAAAAGTCGTTCTTTCAGTCTTGCATTAAGGCGACAACTACTATGATATCCTTCAAATATTTTTTCTTGAGTGCACTTTTCGGGGGTGTCATCGGCGGCGTTTTGGGTGCTATGTTCACGCTCAATATTTTCGGGGAGCAAGGACAAGAGCAGGCTGAGGAGGATGAAGAAGAAGCGGCTCGTCACCCAGCTGAAATGAGGCTGCGGCCAGAGGCGATCCTTCCCAGGAGAGAGCCTGTCGAACACGATTACATACATGAAATTTGAATCCTTTTTAAAATAGGTGAGTGTTGGTTTCTTTTCTTCTTCTTATACTTTTTTTTATTTCTAAATTACTCATACACGGCCCCACTATTATTCGCTGGTAGAGAATTTTCTACAGTGATATTAAGAAATCAGTTCACCGCAGAAATTTTGTCTAAAAGTATAGGTGCACAGTATAACTTTATTAAATCACGGTAACAGCGTAGCTGTAAATCCTTCCTATTCATTTTGCCAAAATTCGGTATTCTTCAAAACGCTCGCGTGTGACGTGTGTCCTCGTGCGTGAGTGGGTTAAACGTGACAAATAAAAAAAGAGAATTTAAATTAAAAGTGGGATATTCCTAGCCAGTTGAGGCCCACCCTTCAGACAGTAAAGACGTCGCGACAACAACAACAGGCATCCCCTGCCCTAGACTTTCTAAAAGTCCTTTGAATTTTTTTTCCTAGTTGGTTATTCCTTGACCTCGCGACTACCTGGCTCGCTGCGCGACCTCGTTGAAGCTCGCTTTTTCTCGTTCGCCTCGCTCGCTAAGAACTTATGAGAAGCCGACTTTGTGGCAAGTCTACTGTTGCCCTAACCCTAACCCAAATCGCTAAGGTAATATGAAAAGCGGATGCCTAAATCGCTAGGGTTTGGAGAATGGGGATGTCCATGTCACTGTAACAGCGGCGAGAAAAAGACGGAAAATCTCTCTCCTCAGCCCCCGCGCGTTTTTACAACACCGCAGCAGGTCAGGGAATCCCCGATCCCGACAGAGGTGCTCACTGGGCCCGTGACACTGTTTGCAGTTCGTGTGTTCTGTTTTTGGTCAGCTTGGTGATTGATCTTTGTTGTCTTACAGCAGTAGAAGAACGCTGGTAGACATGCTGGTAGAAGTTTGCCGCTGTAGACTGAATTTTTGCCGTTATTGTGATGCCTGACGATGACATTACGATCTGATTTACGCATGGCATGAATTGAAGACTGCGTCTCTTGTAGTTATCCCTAAAAAAGAACACTTTTTTATGTTTGTAAAATTATAATAACTTAGTTAAAACATTTCTCAGTTGTAGCGTTCAACTTTTAAATTAACGCCGCCTTAGAATAAGCGCCGCATTTGAAACGTGAAAATTTTTTTATCGCCAAGTCGCTTCGCGAGTCAATACGGTATTGCTTCCCAGTCGCCTTCCCCATTGACTGCAGATCACTTGGTTATCCATAATGAAATGGTACAAAAGCATTTTTGAGGTTCCTTTCAGAGAAAGCTGTCATATTTGAATACTTTTTATTAGCTAGACCGATTTTTTAAGACTACAGGGCAAATTCAGTTGAGTTGGTTTAACTGGGGGAAACCTATTTTAAACTCTCCCTGAGCTACACCACACTCCCTGCTGTTTGCTGACAATTTTAACACCGCTAGTCTGCACGAATGGGAGCAAGGAAAAGTGAGGCTGCAGTACTCCACAAACCCACCGATCTAATTCGGTCTAAGTGGAAGGCTTAACCAGGTGTACACAATTATGACAAAAACCAAGAACACCGGATTTCGAGACAAACAACTTGCACAAGTAACCCTATGTATTATGCAAGGTGAACAAAGATGAGCAACTGACCAACACTTTAGTAAAACTTTGTTTAAAGACACCGAAAGGCTAACCAAAAATAGCATATTTCATACTGAGATGCAAACTGTATACTGATAAAAATATATGTAAAGTAGCTTTAAAAATAGCAATAAAAAGGATTTTTGGTGCTAAAAATTAATACTCTAACTTACTTGTGCAATGTTGACAACAGCATGGAAATATATACAACCTTAATGTAAGAACTCTGATGACTCTGACTCTGATGACATTTCTGGTAAGTTTTGTTTTAAATTTCTTTCTCCATTTTTATGGTCTGTACAAAATAGGTCTAGAAATTTTCATCTGTTTTGAATACATGTTCTGATGTTGTAGATGACTTCTGCTCATTACCCTTGACTTCTGATATTCTGCTACTCTCTTCTTAACTCTGTAGTAACTTCCCATAAAATGTCCCTGCCCTTGTAAAAAATTAATCTGTTCATACTGCTGATAAATTTAAACTAGGGTGTACTTGCATGCACTTTGATAAATTGTTGCAGTAGCAGAGTTTGGTTAAGGTAAAGATTTTGAATGTTACATGATAGGGGCATTTGATGACCTAAAATGTACCTTTGATGGGGCATTTAAACAGCTGTTTGGCTTGGGATTGAGTGGGGAATTACAAAAATTTATGCCTAAACAGGGAGGGAATGTTGCATTTTGATTTGAATGATTTGAATGGTGCATTTTGATTTGACCAAGACATTAACTCCCTGAAGCTATTTTTTACGTAGTCAAAACACCTAAATATTTCCACCGGAGGGCAAAAAATCAGGCAAACATAAGCTATTTTTACCTTGGAGCATTTAAGAGCAACCAGGAGTCTGTCAGCTACAAAATTCAATATACTGCTTCATAAGGATGTGGTTCATTTCAATGAGTTTTACAGGGAGGGCCTCTGTGAAGAACTCTTGCTCAATGATAACAGCATCCTTGATGATTTCTTTGATCCTTTCCTCAGATGTCTTGTTTTTGAGGTATCAGAACATCAAGCAGGCACAGTCACAATGAAGACCCCGTGTTACAGATATCAGAACCATATACTTTAAAAATATTTCAGATGTATTATTTTCATAATTGCAATGAATGTCATAATGTATTGTAAAATCTGAAGTATATAAGCTTTAGGATGATTAACAGTAAAAACCCGCGTATGAGAACCTAGATTTTTCCAACTTAGCCTAAATAGGTTCTTATAGAAATGGTTTTTAGTGGGATCATAGGCTACTTAGGTTCTTAATTTGATAGGGGCACTAGCCATCAGCACAGATAACTACTACAGGGCATATGTGATATGGAATATTATATTGCTGTATTAAATAATTATCTAGAATTCAGTTTAGATTATAACCATACAGTAAATTTATCTTTCCAAAGTACTAGCGTGTCTAGCTCTTATGCTACATGGTCCATAAAATACTGTCAGAGTTACATTTTTGATTCTTTGAATCTTACTGACTGAAACCTAGACCAAAATTTTTTTTCTGTATTTTCACCATTGCCTTCGTTTTTGTAAAATAAGAACCTGTTGAAAATTCGGTGTATGACATTTGCAGACTGCACACTGCAGACTGCATGAGGCAGCAACACTGTAAATTGAATGAAACCAAAAGTATTGTGATAAAGGTGGCATCATCATCAACATTACCATGTTCCGAGAAGTACATGTAAGGCCTAGAAGCGAAGTTTATATTTTTCATGCAAATTACACCGACCTCATTCCTAAAGGAGTTGTTGGCTGTTCTTCTCGTATTGAATTAGAGCAGAATAATGTCTGCCGATGTCACAAACTCGCTCATGAATATATAGCAACAGCCTAGCAATTTAGCCTGCACCACAGACGAAACTAAACTCTGGTTATATAAGTCTGACTGTGAAACAGCGCCAGAATCCTTATTCTACGGGGGCCCCACCTGTGTACTAGGATTTGAGTATGAGCAATGATTGGCCTGTTAAAAAAGCCATTGTCGATTTGCCTATTTAGAAATTCAAAATGCACTTCCGGTAATTCGTCGAGTCCAGGTAGGATCTGTTCGGTTTAGATTATTTAGCATATCCTTAAAAACTGCTAAGATGAAATACGTCATGTAAAAGGTGTTAAATGTCCGTGATCTATCCTAGTTGTTTTTGTTGACGTAACTGTAGCGAGCACAAAGTGAAAGCAATCTAAAAACTCTTTTTTACAGAAGACTACTATTTAGACAGGCATTAGTTGGCATTGCTACTTGTTATTATCAATTCACAATAATCAAAGAAGAATAAAGAATCAACGCAATTAGCGATATGCTGGGTGAGTCAATAAAGAGTCGCGTCGGTGAAGAATAGCCAACAGCATCTTGGAAATGAGGCCAACTTGGCTACTTTCTCACTTTCACACGATGTGATAGTTTTGATGGTGTCACCTTTATTAGGACGATTTTTGGTGTCTTTTAATTTACAATCTGCAATCTGTGGTCTGCAGTCTGTGGTCTGCAGTCGATCTGTGGTCTGCAGTCTGTGGTCTGCAGTCTGCAGTCTGCAGTCTGCGGTCTGAAGTCTGCAGTCTGCAGTCTGCAGTCTGCAAAATAATGTCATACACCGTACATGTAGTGACATAATTCCAATTTGTGCATCAGTGGTGTCACCATTCAAAAAAACCCTCTTCGGTCCTTTTTCACAGAACATTTGAGTAGAGCCATTTTTTCTTATAATTTTTTTTAAACAGATACTTGGAATTTTGACATTATTCCTTTCTTTGGCCATTTAGATATTTAGGTATTTTATTTATTTGCCACACAATTACAATAATTACTTAAAGATGCCAAAAGGAAAAAAAAATGTAGGAAGAGATGGCGAGGAGGCCTAAAAGAAACTATAGAGCTTATGTTAATTAGGCCTCCTCAATTACAATTTTTCGAAGATAGCATAAAAATTACGGCGACGGGTACAATATAATATCAGGTGAAAAATTAAACTAATCAATATTACGGAAGTTTACAAATGTTGAATATTAAAAGGCTTTTTCCCAAGATTTTTGTTGAAGTATACTAATAATTATTACAAATAAATGCCTTAAGTGCTCTTTTAAAGGAGAAAGGTGAGGAAGCGTTGATGATGTTGGTGTTTAAGGTGTTGTAAAATTTAGGTCCTTGATAAAAAACGGAAAATTGCTTGGTTCGAGTATGACAGAAAGGCAGACGAAATTTACACGAGTTTCTTGTATTATACGAATGAATTTGACTTTGTAAGGTAAATTTACAATGAAATTTTAAAGGTAGAGTATGGTTTTGATAGGAGTACATGAATAAGCCTAGTTGTATTAAGTATATATCATGAAATTTTAAGATACCAAGATTTTGAAAGATTGGATCAGTATGTGCATCGAAAGTGGTTTTAGCTATAGTTCTGATCACTCGTTTCTGTAAAATCTCAAGACGAATAAGGTTAGTTCTGTAAGTAGAGGCCCAAACTAAGTTGCAGTAAAAAAGGTATGGATAGACTAGAGAAAAATAGAGTGTTCGTAAGGTTTTCGTGGATAAATAGAAACTGGATTTACGAATAATTCCTGTGCATTTAGAAACTTTATTGGCGACACGTGAGATTTCAGATTTCCAATTTAAATTTTCATCCATGATTACTCCCAGGAAAACTGTTTCTTTTACTTGATCAATTTTTTGACTATTAATTAAAAGTTGAATAGTTTGATTTGCACGCTTTTGGGATAGTTTAAATGCAATGAATTTGGTTTTTTTCAAGTTTAATGAAAGCCTGTTAGCTCTAAACCATATTGACAACTTATTTAGTTCAGCGTTCAGTATATTAGTAAGGCAGTCTTTATCCTTGTGAAACACAAATACGTTTGTATCATCGGCAAATAATATCAACGTGGTCCTCAAAGAAGTGATGTCAAAGTTTACAATTATGATGCTTACGCAGCTATCACAACTTCTTCACATTAAATGTTTGTATTGACGTGGAAGATATTTACCGTATCTTGACCCTCCATACATTAATCCCTCATTTGATCTCTGTGTTTGAGGTCTGGGAGGCAAAGGTGGAGGTTTTGTAGATTCCGAAGTTGAACTCGCCATTTTGCCAAAATCGCTATCGCGTAGTGCATTCAATCTAGGGGGTACAGCTCCTAATAGAAGGCGAGATGGAGAATCAAACGACACTACACTGGACCTTGTGTTAATTCCTGCTTCTTCCCAAGGCTTCCGAGGAGCAGACATCCCCTAATCATTGCCTTTTACACTCCAAATCCAAAAATTGCAATCACGCTTCGGTCCTTTTCCAAAATGGCTTACATCCTACAAGCCCAGTCTGAACACAGGGTCCAGAGGAGTTTCGTGTGAATAAATAAATTACTTAATCAAAGCCTCGTGAAAAAGGGTCTTCTTGTTTTCACGATTAAAACAAAAAGACACTGGGGACCCAGATCGACTTTGTTGTTCGCCATTTTGAAAATCAATAACCGCGAGCCATTTTCGAAAGTTTGAATGCGAGGGGCGAATCAAAACGAGCGTATTTTATCCTAGCGACGGTGCGTGATGACGGTCATCATTTCCTTTCCGTTTTGGCTTTATACTGGAAAGACTGGATCGGGAATCAAAAATCGGGAACCGGGATTGAGGATCGAGGACCAGTGATCGGGGATCGGTAAACTGAAGAATTGTAAAACACTCGTGGATCGTGGTGATGTGGGCCGCAGACTGTGGGTAAATTTCACAGAACATATCCCACGTTAGGTGTACTGAGCACTAAATTTAAATAAACTACGACTCGAAGTAATCGTCTGAAATTCAGGCTACTCAATGAAGTTTAATTTTTGATGCAGGAAAATGAAGCGCTTTAAGTTCTCTTGTCTGCCAGAATTGCGTTTATTTTCAGTGTATTTATGTTAAATTGTATGTAGCCTGCGTAGCAAGCGTTTCCGCGCGAGTTCGTCGAGAAAGTTGGGACGAGAGCAAAAAAAGAATAACTCGATTGGAAACGCTTGCTACGCAGGCTAATCTGTATGACATCACTGAATAACAATAAAAATGTACCCTCCACATGATAATCGACCCTCGACCAAAAGTTGGACTCCAACTGAGTGTTGATACCAGTTTAGATTTCAACATGTTTCTTTTTCTTATCTCTTTTTTTTATGCCGGTGATGTTTTGAGTATTTACACTACGACATTGAACACTAGTTTTGTATTCCATACGAAAAAGTAAGGTAACAGTGACCAGCGCCTTTGACGACTGGCAAAACTATTTTCTGCAGTTACCCCGGGGCAGCCGTGGCAGTTATTAGCCTGTGTACATAGGGGAGGGGCGTCTGTACATAGGCTAGGCAGTTATGCTCTTCGACGGGGTTGATGCATGGGATTCTAGTTGTAATAAAAGCAGGGGCACCCAACGAGAATATGGTTCAAAACCACTTAAACATAGCATTGTTAAACGTATTTTAGTATTTAAACAGTAGATATAGGCATATTTTCATCCCCTAAAAATTTTTCATCTGTTCGGATTTCCTAGCTGAAAGTCTAGTGATCCGAAAATTATAGGGATCAAAACTTACCTTCTCGAAAATTTCAGCCAGGAAAAGGCTCCCGAAAATTCTAGGTGGCCTTTTTTAAGGTCAAAATCCGTTAAAAATGGGTAATTATACCATTTTGTAGATGTTCGAAAATCCTAGGAGAGGCAGGCAAGCAAGAAATTTTACAACAAATGCTCCGAAAATTCTAGATCTCAAATCGTCTTCCGGACAGATATTTTCCGAAAATTGCCGTTGGGTGCCCTGATAAAAGTTCTTCGACCTATGGGATGAGTTCATTGTAACAGCAGATATCCTTCATTCATACTAAAAATCTGGCAGATATTGACCAACATGGATTTGCACAAATCCGCTACGTCTGATTTCGGATTTGCGGGAAAAAAAAGACCGTAATTTTATCACCATCGCAACACACTTGTTAGGCGCTTGTTCCCAAATCTACCGTGCCTTGCTCATTTTGATGGCTCATTGAAGTGTGTCTTCTTTGTCTGGGCTGATAATTTCTCAGCCAGCTACGTGTATCACCAGAGGAACAGGCTTATTCTTGGCGACCTGACACAACATCTGAAATTTTCTTGTCGACATCGCCAAAAAGAAAGAATTTTACGACTTTCAAAACACTGTAAACCAGGCAAAACGAAACTCACGCACCGCTTTATGAACCTTATCCATAATCTAGAAACTGTTCGCGCAGGTGATCGGACGATAACGCGTAAAAATTAACATGGAAGTATATGCGTAAATTTCTTATATTTATTTCTGCAATTCTTCGGTTATTTTATTTTTAATTATTATTATTATTTTTTTACCGATCCCCGATCCCCGATCCTCGATCCTCGATTTCCGATTCGATTTCCAGTAACAATTCAAAACCAAGTCAACCATCTTTATTTCATCCAGGAATTTAAAAATTAAAAATAACCTAACTATTCCAAAAGTAAGTCTGGAGCCAATTAGCATGAATTCAGTTTTAGAAGTGTTCAAGGTAAGTTTATTGGAAATAAGCCATTTGTTTAGGTTATCTAAATCGTGACTCAGAGTTAACTGTATTGAATT